CCTCATGGGCCAGAATGAATTGAGTATTAAACAAAGTAACCAATGAAGCACATGAAAATGCCAGCTACTAATGCTGGTACTGGATGAATATGCACTCATGAGCTATGGTCATAGAATTGCCAATTATCTGCTTTTATATAAACCTAAATAAAATTATTTAAATAAATAATAAAACTTGTTAATTAAATAAAATTTAAACTGAAGTTAATTTGCAATAAATAAAATTTAATTGCAAATTAATTTCAGTAATTATATTAACATGTATGAATTTTAAGACAATTTATTTTAATTAATTAATTAATTTTTTGTTGTTTAACTTCTGAATTAGTATGTATGAATTTTGTGATGTATATAAAAAAAAAAAAAAAAGAAAATGTTAAGTCACAAAACATAGTACAAGGAAATGATGGAGTAGCAGAAAATTCACAAATGGCATGATCATAAAATGTAGCACAGGTTTGTTTGAAGTAGCAAATTTTTCAAAAATTGCATGATCTGGCAGCATTGCAGTTTCAATGGAATACTATAGCTACCTCATGAGTTTATGTATGGAATACTTTCAATAAGCACTGATCTATGAATTTTGTCTGTTGGCAAAACACATGAAAGTTCCACTTGTGCATAATGTGTTCAATTTTGTAGTTAACCGAAGCAAAGAATGGAATAGCTACAAAAATTTTTATGATCATTAAGAATAGAAAGATGTTTTCTCATGTTGTTTAAAAAGCGTCTTATTTTATGTCTATTACGTTGACAATACATTTGCTTTAACTGATGGCTTTGAAGAAGATTTCAGCACTACTATTTGATTAACCGCTTGCCTGATTATCCCCAGTTATCTCGGGTTCGTATATATTGCAGTTAATTATTATCCTGACAAAACTCGGGCGAAGCAGAATTTGTTAGTACGATTTCTTTTATCACGTTTTTATTCGGTCTGGAGGAAATGAAAGGAAATATTTAGCTTTGATTGGCAAGTTGCCAAATTTTGTTGGTTGCACGATTCTTTTGGAGGAACTGGTCACGTGTTTCCCTATTGTATTGTATACGTTGGCTTGTGGATTAGTAATGTATAAAGGACACATGCATTGAAAAAAAATAAAATGATGGCGATGATGCAAGATAGTGAAAGCGATTTTTCAGATAATAATTGTGAAGAGGCGGGGGAAAAAAATCAAATCCAACGAGACAGTGTACTCTTTGCTCCCGTGAAAGAGATTCCAGTGGTAAGCCACTAAGAAAAGAGACCAGATACCAGTGTAGAATGTCGGGCATCACTCTGTGCTGTCCCTTGTTTCAAAAACTATCATACAAAGATTAATATTTAACTTTTTTCCGTTTGCCCGAGATAACTCGGGATAGTAAACTAATATTAAAAATAAATGCTTTTACACCTTCAAAAAATTAAAAATTCAACTTTACACCTTCAAAATAATAATACTTTTACACCTTCAAAAAATTAAAACCTACATATTTTAATTTGTTTCGTTTTGTTGAATTTAGTAATAAAATAAAAAAAAGTGATGATTTTTTGCAATTTTTTTCAAAAAAAATTGTAAGGGAAGCAGTTAAAACCTATCTGTTTAGGCTTCCCACTGATGCTAAATCTTGTCATTCTGCTAAATGAAAGTTAGCTAATTTTATTCTTTCATTTCCTATTATATGCAATCCATGAATGTTTGGCCAAGTCAGCTCATGGTCAGAAGTTGAACTACAGGGTGATTATAATTAAAGTTGTGATTTAAAAACGCTGTAACTTAAAAACTACTTATCATAATGACTTGATATTTTAATAGAATAATCCTGAGGCAATGGAATTTCGTTTGGGGAAGGAACGAAATAGTTTCTAAAATATGCCAATAGATGGCGCTGTCAGGGTTCACATTGCAGTTGGTATGCAAATACTAAGACATACCATGTGCAATGCAGGCATGGCTAAGATACAAATTCAGAGCACTGATGACACACATAACATTTTGCTTGAGTGCTTCATCATGACTCTGATGATGAAGGATAGTGCTCTTCTGGTGAAGCTTTTCTATGAGAATAGTGACTGTGTGGTAACAGCTATCAGGAAGTTCTGGATGTTAAAAGGCATAAAATCCAGCCACACACAATAATCACATATGAACTGCAGAAAATGATAGACAAATTCGAAGAGACCGAGTCATTTGACATGAAATGAGGTAAAGGACGAAAACCAGTTTTAGCGGCCTTAGTAGAAAATGTGGCTACTACATTACAAGAACAAATAGTGATGCAGAAATCAGCAGTGCACGGGGAACTGGTAGAATGTTGAATATGCCTCATGGGCCACAGTTGCTACCTGGTGACCTGGAAACATGTGAATTGTTTGCACTACAGTTTCTTGCCCGGATGGAAGTGGATAATGAACAACCTTAGAACATTCTGTGATCTGACGAAACTCATTTGCATTTGCAAGGTTCTCTAAATGTCCAAAATTGCAGGATATGGGTGACTGAGAATCCATTCCCACTGCAGCCATTACCTCTTTACTCTGAAAAGGTCACTGTATGGTGCGGAATACCGTCAGTGTTTGTCGTCGGTTCATTCTTCTTCAAGGAGATCACACCTGCGGGCCCTGTTACCTGCGCCATTACTGGCAAGCGTTATGAAACACTTTTGAGTTATGAAATGTAACCATGTCCTTCTGGCACTTCAGCAACGTCAATGTGTGGACCACACAATACTCATGCAAAAGGGAGCTCCTCTGCACATTGCTACTTGTGTGAAGCAGCTCCTGATCACTCATTTTGGAGATGATATAATCATAAGCTAGCATTTTCAAATGGTGTGGCCGCCTAGCTCTCCAGACTTAAACCCGTGGGACTTTTAGCTTTGGGGATGCCTGAAGAATGTGTTTAAATGGGCGGATTGTGAATCTGGTGGATCTGAAGGCAAGCATCATGCACCATATTCATAGCATCAGCACAGAGATCCTCCGATCTGTTGTGGAGCATGCAGTTTTGTGCTTCCAGTTAGCAACGGAACAAGGAGGAGAGCATATCGAACAACTTATGCGTTAATCATCCATAAGGTGTTTGTTTTGTGAAGCTTCTCTTCTCACTATCACTGTTTTCTCTGTAAATACATATTCTTGTCTTTTCGCTAATAAAATTGTTGTAAACCCTTAGTCTATTGTTTCCTTTCGGCTACTCATCCACAACAGCAATGTGGACACCAACAGTGCCATCTATCAAAAACTTTCGGAACTATTTTTTTTCCTTCACCAAACAAAATTCCATTATTTAGGGATTGTTCTGGTAAAATATCAAGTCATTCTGATCTGTAATTTTAAAGTTAGAGAGTTTTCAAATCGCAACTTTAATTATAAATCACCCTGTATTTAGGAGTGATTGTAACTGACAAAAGTTTTCTTGGCCCATATTATTAACCAAATGGTTAAAAAAATTTCAGCTTGTAACAACAAAAAATTTTCCATTCTGTGTGATCATATAAATTGAGCAGTTATTCCACTCTTTTCTTCAGTTAGTTACTGAATTGCATGAATTTTACATAGGTACATTACAGAGGAGGGGCTTCCACACCTGGCAGCTGCAAGGTCACCTTACATAGTTTATTAGTGTGCCCCAACCTCTAGTGGCCATCCGAGAGGGCATCACTCCCCTCCGCCAACCCAGGGGGCTTTACATGTCAGACATCGTCCATCCCTAAGTGCTGACCAAAGGCTGCCACCACCGAAACAACCAATGATATCTAACCATGTATCGTCCCCACATCCAAGGGGCAGCAAGACAATATCACTATGGTCCCTGCCAAGCCTTAACCTACCACCGAATGAATGCTGGCTCTAGTCCTGTGAAGACTGATTATTTGCCCCAGGGTTAAAGGCTGTCTAGACATTTTTCTGGCCAGTTTACTGGATAGAACTCAGGGTCTCCTCCCATAAAATGTTGGTTTCCAGAAATACCAACCCAGTCGAACACCAGATATGGTGTCTGACCAGGTGATTAGCTCAGGCGAATCTGGTTACCAGCAGGGATGAGGTGGTCTGTGTCAGACTGGAGAGGAGAGGCTGTAAGGTAGAGTGTCACTATCCTGGCAGCTGCACCCACTCTCAGAAGGTCCAGATCAAACCCAGGTCTCCTCCCATAAAATTGGGTGGTTCCTGAAATCCAATCCTTTCCAACTTCAAGGAAGTACAACTACCCCCTGCCATTTACATAGGTACAATTATTATGTCCTGAATAAAATTCATAGTTTGTCTCTTATATACCCTCTTCTAGGTGTGAACTCTTCAGATATCTAGTGTTCCTTGCCATTGTAAGCATTGCAAAGGTAAGCCATTGCAAAAGTAAGCTATTAAATTCCACATGCATGAAGAGCATGAAACTTCTCCTAACAAAAAGTTCAGTCATTTTGCATAATTTTTTATATGGAAAATTACTTTCCCAATTCTCTGTTCGTAAAATTATTCAAACCACTTCAGTTGATGAAGTAGATTTCTTGAAGTTCTGTCAAAATCATAAACTTTTGTTTAGTTAATCATCCATATTCTAACTTCTTAACCATTAGCCTTGAAACACTTGATTCTTCAATTGTTTCTGATTCACCCTTTTTGGAGTAAGTAACATTAGATGTTTCCATGCTAAGAACTCCTTAAATGAATCATCTGTATTCACACATATGTTTCTCATTATTACATATTTGTTCATTCACGTTTGTTTCTCGTTTTTGGACTCGCAACTTAAGAAGTTACCGTCTGACTGCCAAAATTGTAGTATTATATATAATATATGTATTCTAGTAGTGGTAATTTTTGTACTTTTTCTGTCTAACTATAAAAATTACGAATATAATATTGAGATATATAATACTTTTTATCATTTTTGAAATATCAGAAAGTATTTGTTACAAAAATAACATATTTTCAGCCAAGCTTTTGAAATTTATTATGGCAATAAATGATAAAAATAGTTAAGATTTCAGTTGTATAATATTTTTATCTTTTGCCTTAGAATGAAAACATTTTCTTTGCATGGCTATGGGTTTTAGCAATCAGCACATTGTTTGTTCTTATAAGCTCTTCATCAGTTGTTGTAAGTAAAATTTTTATATTGAAAATTTTTAAAATGCTTTTCTGTACATATTTTCACCAACCATTAATAATTGAGAATAATTTTGGAATATTTTAATGTCATGGTCTAATTTCTTCCCTGATGTTAGACAACAATTCTGCTGTAGTATGGTTTTGCTTAAAATGTAGAGTTTTAAATGCAAAAATAGTGCTATATATTTTAATTTCTGTCAGTTTTAAAGTATTCATGAGGTTATAAATGTTCTTTCAGAGTGAAATATTTATTTTCTTTATGATCAGGTAGTAGGTGCAATATGTATTCATTTCAGATTTTACGTCCAAGTGCTGGTGGATCTGGTTTGCCTGAAATCATTGCTTACTTGAATGGTACAATTGTGCGGCATATATTTAATGTGAAAACACTGGGAGTTAAGTTTTTATCATGTGTATTTGCAGTAGCAAGTGGAATGCCTGTTGGTCCTGAAGGTCCAATGGTTCATCTTGGGTAAAATATTCTGATGCTAAATTTTAAACATTAAGCAACTGTGTTTTGACCCTCTAACTGTGAAGCTTTTCAGATTAATATAGCTTAAAAATTCATCTGTTTGTAATTTATATGTATTTCAGAATTAAAACATGCTGTGCACTTTTCAGAAAAATGCATTTTAAAACTTTTATTAAATCTTTAAGAAAGCAAAGTGATACTGAACTCATAACTTTTGTTACTGTCAGTATCTCATGATTGTTGAATTATTAATTATTCATATCACTTGCAGAATGTTTTTCTGAATTTGTGAGTAAATTAAACTAGCAAATTACAAGAGAAAGGTACTGAACACAATTTTAATTAGTAATGATAAATATAGCAAAACCATGACAGAATTAATCAATAAACTAAGTTAAATGGGCAAAATGTCAGCAAATTAAATATTCCTGTGAAATCTCTGTTCTTTCTTGTAAATTCGTTGTGCATTTTTACCCAATTCTGTATTTAAAAAAGAGAAGAATCTTGTGCACTATTACTGTTAATATTGTGCACCATATGCTGAATAAAATAAAATTTAAGAAGTTAATAATCTCTAAAGTATTTTAATTTTATTCACGTATGGAGAAAAGTGGGTTTCGCATACTTAAGCACACACACATATTAAAAAAGGGAGCAGTTGGCCACAATAGAAATTGTGCTACATTTGCACTGCTGTAGAGTAGAATTATATGACAACAAACATATTGCAATTTTATGCCAACCTTTTGTAGTTATGCCGACATATTGGTAATTCATAATCAGTTTAAGCACTATGCTCCTACAGTAGGCACATGGTGAAATGTACGAGCTTTTGTTTAAAAGTTTTTGTTTGTAAGCCTGATTAGTGAAGGAGATCATGAAGAATTTAAGTTTTAAGTGGATAAAGAGAAAATATCGAAAATGAAGTGCATAAAAACTTATTGTATTAAAAATGGAGACATGAACTTGCATTAATACTTATACTAGATATATGCAATTCTGATGCTAAAACTAATAGACTTAAGATTCAAAAATATTTTCATAATGTGGCAATAGAGTGTGTTTGTGTATTAGTTACATTTTTCTTTACTGCTGATCTTTTAATATGAAGAGCAGTTGTATAATGTAACTAAACAATTGTTAATTAAAAGTGTTATTTCACAAAACATAGTGAATTAACATCTAAGTTATAACACATTAATAAGTCAATAAACATTATTGACAAATCAGTTTGTATGTACTATAGTAGTATATGGAAGTTGAAAGGATACGGTTATTTAAATTTTTTAAGTTAAATCTTATCTATTCTAAATTCTTATTATTTTAACTTTTTGAAAATATCTATAAGTATTTTAACAAACTAAATGTTGGATGAGGAAATTAAATTCCAATAGCAGCAGTTGTGTTGTAGCAGCATTAAAATATTACTTATTAAAGACATATACTTATATACATTACTTACATACATTAAAATATTACATCTTAATTAAAATTTTGATTTCTATGTCCTTTTTAAAAGTCACGATGAAAGATGTATAAGTGGTTCTTTACTGTGCGTCTATTATATACAAACTTGAAATGTTTTAGTTTGCCATTTTATAATTGATTTTTCATGGTGTAAATAATTTAAGATTTGATAACATTTTTGTGTGAATGAAACTGTATGTTGAAAAAATGCATTATGTAAGGAGAAATATTAGATATCTAATCTTTGAAAACCAATGCAAGATTTGGTATGAGTGATCAGTTTCCTGTCTCAATATTCTATGTAATTAGGGCAGAATGAAACAAGCATTTTAATAGATATGGATATGAAATGAATTTATATTTGAGTTTGAGAAAAAGGAGAATCATACTTTCCTAGAAGCTGCTAATTCCTGTTGATGTTTCTTTTGAAATCTTGCAATTATTTCAAAACAGTCATACCTAAAATTTGTTATTATTAAGATTTTGAAGTGATCAGGGTAGAAGATTAAAAATTAACACACTCTTTTTTTTTCAAAGTTTTAATAGATTCAGTGATAAAGTAAATTTCAAAACAATTTAACTCTGTAGATTTGTCAAATCAGAATTCTAAGCTTTATGCAGTAGTTTTTTTGTTTTTTTTGAAAATGTATTAAAACATGAAGAAACATCTTAGAATATAAAGAAATGTAATAGAATTTTACAATGTATGTTTTTTTCTTAAAATATAAAATTATGTTTCATGTGGAACGACTTTTTCTTAATTTCAGATCATTAATTGGTGCAGGTTGTAGTCAACTGAAGTCGTCTACTTTAGGAATTAAATTGCCATTTTTCAAACGATTTCGTAATTCTGAAGATAGGTATTATGTCATTCTTTTTCTCTTTGTTGAATGAAATTGTTATCTCTTGAAAATAAAGCAATCGAATTAGCTTTTACTTATATAGAGTCAGAAAAGTGTTAAGATATTTGAATTATAACAATAAAGTTGTATGTGCTGAAATCAGTGTGGTTTATGTATTAAAATCAGTTCAGTTTAGGTATGTTAAAATGAACACAATTTATGTCTTTTCAGATCAAAACAGTTATAAATGTATACCTATATAAACAGAGTTATATATATTTTATGTTTAGATATACTTTATTTTTTAGACTGTATGAATGATAACTGAATTAACTATGTATAACTGACTGAATGTGTATATCGTGCATATATCCATTTCTTCAAATCTTTAGTCCTTACACTTTGATTGTATTTTTTGGATTTATTTGTTGTAAACCTCATCTTTGAAAATTAACTAAACTTTTTTTTTTTTTTTTTTAAATAACAGAAGTAGGAAGAAAAAAAGACTATGTGAAATGAATGTTTAAAAAACGTAGATACAGAAATCTTAAAAAAATTTTTTCTCCGCTACGCTAATGTTTCTTGCTAGAAGCCTGTTCTAACCTTAAAGAATCATAAAATCAAGGTGAAGATATAAAGTCAATGTGGGTTGTATTCACTGCATCATATGCATCAATTGTAAATTAGAAACTGCTTTATTAAAACCAGACTTTAAGTTTTCATACAATCGGTGTCATCTTGTGTAAAATGGCTTTACAGATTGCCTTCTGAGTGTGTGCTATTTTACAGTCTCAAAGCATCTAAAGCTATAGTGGAATCCTGGCGATAGTTGATGATGCATGTTGTGCAAGTTTCTGTGTAGAAATGGGCATAATATCTCAGCAGATTTCATCACAGTTGCAACTGAATCTCAACAGTACTAAAAGTTTTGATAATGCATGGTACATTTTGCAGGTCAAATTACTGTTGAATTACTGTTGAAAGTGTTGAATTTAATTTAACAGACATGGGTTTTATGAATTTTTATTGTTGTAGAGCATGAGTGTTGTGACTTGTATCAAAATGACTCATATATACTGATGGCCATTAAAATTGCAACATCAATATAGGCAAAAGGTAATGCAACTGTTTTAAAGATTCCTTATAATATAAAGATGGAATCAGTAAAATTTCAGGTATATTGCACAAATATAATATGCTACGATCATTCGGGAATGAGGCCACCATGAGTAAAAATAACCATTTGCTATATTTCAAGGCATAGAGTTAATGCGATTTTGGATGAGAATTTGAGATGTTGCAGTCCATGAAGCTGTAATTAATTATTAGTCTGTTGTAATTATTGGTGCTATGTCTCAAGTTTTGAGTAAGCTCAGGTGTCCTGAGTTGGGGGAAAAATCTGGTGAATGCATTGACCGAGACAGAACAGTAACCTGCTGTGTGATGAAGACAGACTGAGTACAGTTTATGGTGATCCTTGGTCCTGCTGGAGAGTGGCTGTAAATTGAAGTTATGGGACAATCACAGGTCCTAATATTAGTGTAATATAATGTCAAACAGAAGAATAGAATGTGAAATAGAAGAATAGAATGTCTAATCAGAATGCTCTATATATACACCAAACAAGGTTTTGATTACTCTGAAGTCAGACCATTTGTGCATCTTATGCCTTTTTTGATACATCACTGTAGCTCCAGATACCTGTTCTGTGCCATTAAAAGTAGGAATGCCCTCTACACAGTCTATGACTCTCAGAAGAATAGCTTGTCATACATGCATGCACTGCTTGCCACACATATTTCCTATGTAAAGATGTATTATGTGGCTCTATAGACTATTCCTACATGTATGCAGTTCTAAACATTGGTGTGTTCATGCTGCTGTAAGTTTCTATATCACTTTTTTATTATTGCCAACCAGCAGCCTGAGCTATTAAGTCGCTGAACACTGGTAGCTTGATCTGGGATCAAATCCTGGTGAATGGGCTGGCTGCATGTTTGGATTTTATGGTTAGATAGTGCGTAATTGAGATGCAAGGCCATTTGCCTTAAAACATCCTCCAGGAATGCATCCCTCCCTATAAGCAGATAACCCACAAGTTGCTTTTCCTTAACCAATAAGCCTAACCTGGAGCCATCAGTTTTCTGTTCACATGATAGTGGTTAGATTTCAGTATAGTATACACACCAATTTGGCAGTGTAATAATACATAGTCATGGATATACTCTTATTCTCTGAGAACCGAATTCAGATATATGCTGCTGTACATTCTGTCTTCTGACTTGACTTAAGGCATACTCTTCATATCTAATTAAACAAAAATGAAACCCGATTCTAGAATGGAAAATTCTTCCTTCTCTGTTACACTGATTCTAGATAGCCTTGCAAGCACTGACTATTGGTACATACATTGACTTGCTAATAATTTTTATGCCCTACTCTACTCTACTTTTTATGCAATTTTCATGTCAATTTACAGATTTCTTCATGGTGTTGCAATTTCAGAGGCCATAGCAGAGGCGTAGCTAAGGTTTTAAGTACCCGGAGACACCTAAAGATTTTGCGCCTCTTTCTGTGTTCCAAGAACGGAAAACATTTCACTCTGAAATGTGTATCGTCAATTTGGCGCCCCTTGGATGCTGCGCCAGGAGATGGATGTCCCCCCTTGCCCCACCTTAGCTATGCCACTGGGCCATAGTATGTATTTAGAGCTTGAATATAATTCACAAATTAATTATTGTCACTTATTTTCATGTAAATGCATATTAATATTGGCATGCAGATTTATTTTGCGTGATTAACCACATTGCTTAGCTTGAGTTTTAAGATAATTGATATATAGATTCAGAGTGGAGCATAAAATGTCACCACTACAAAGGGACATACTTATTTATCATGCAATATATTATAAAGAAATAGAGGTAAACATACTTACTATAAAAATGTCTAGGCAGTTTGTAAGAATGTATATAATATAATCCTTATTTATTTATTTATTTATTTATTGTATACCTTTTCCAGATAGACCCCCTTGTTATTGACAAGTTGATAATATGCTTTTTTATTTAGTCTGTTTAGAATACAGTAATGTTGACTTGCATTTATTGTCTATTTGCAAGTTTCTGTAGATGCATCTTTTCTTAATCTTGCAAGAATCTGTGTGGGTTGATATTAGGGCTTTTGGGAGCCACATTACTCTGTGCTGAAAACATTCTGAAGATTGATGGTGAATGACAGAAGTCAAACTGATTGTCCAAAATAATATATACTGCGTGCTGACAAGCCTTCCTCTTGCATAAATATTGTACAATGGTTTTAATGGGAAGTCTTCCTGCCAGTTAAAGGGAGCTTTTTTCAAGTTTCTCCAAACAACTGTTGAAGGCTTGGACTGTTGAAAAATAAAGAGCCAGTAAAAAGATCTTTTAGTGGAATTACAAGTTCTCAATGTGCCCACCTTCGCAGATAATAATACATTGTAAACCAGATATTGTTAATAACTGTAACAAATGTAACATTGCAAGAGGTATCTGTCTAACTTCACGTTTTATGGCATCTTTCAAGTCTGACAAATTTCATGAATTTGGTGTGTACACCTTGGACTTCAGATTAACCCCAGAAACAGGATTTCACTCGAGCAAGTTGGGGGGGGTACACTAGCCATGAAACTGCGGGAGATTGAAACCTTGCACACATTGAAAACTTATAATTCCAATAAAAGTTTTTTTCCTTCCTCTCTGTATTGTCACTGGCCCTTTGCAATGCTGCTTTTTGCAAATGTTTTAAATGTGCAATTTTTGCTATGCATATATCAGTCCAGTGCCATTTGTGGTTTTTCAATCTGATGATCAATTTGCACAGGAAAAAGTGGGTATTGCCAATTAAAAATTTTGAAATTTTTTCTCTGTAACCGTAACTTTACTTCATCAGATTATTAACCTTAACCTTATTTCATCAGATTCATTGTATGATTCTGGTGAAATGCTATTCACATCTAAAGTGTAACTTAAAACATGTATTACCTTTCTTAAAGAACTATGAACTCAACATGTTTGTATCAAAATTTTTCTCTGTCTTTGCCATGATTAAATGTTGTCTCATTTGTGCAATTCTGATGGCATGGTTTTGTTTCATGAAAATATGGTTGGCCTCAGTCTGTCCGGGACTTGAACCTCAGCTCATTGACATTGTAGTTAGGCCTCTTATAACCTATAACTGTCTGCGTTGGTGTGCTGTTTAATGAAATTTTCGAGTTCTCTGAAATTTTTCAAAGTATCTTCATCCAGAATTACATCGTATTACTTTTTAACCCTTTGAGCGTTATGACTGGGATTTTCCAGTCATCAGAAGTTTGGTTACTTGGTGTATATTAGCTTATAATTTAAGATATTTTGTATACTTTCTTACTTTCTTTAATAATGTAAATATCATCTTAATGAATTTAGTTTATGAAAATGTAGACTAAAATAAGTAATTATACAAACTAAATTAATAAATGCTGTTTAACTACTGGTCTTCATGACGGATCTAAAATCCTGTGCCACTCAGAGGGTTAAAATATTTATAAAGGTTAAATTAATCGAGTTTTTCAATGTAGTGAACAAGCTTTACATCCCTCCTGTTAATCTTTTGTCAATTGATCAGAAGAATAACTCATTCGTAATCCAGATATGTGTTATATAATTACACTGTATTGTGTTCTGTAGTTAACACTGAACATGAAGCAACTGTTGATTTAAAAATATATATTTAAACTTTTATGTATTCAAGAGATGACACACTGAAGTCTAATTCTTCCAAATGAAATAGTTTTTATTTCATTTTTTTTATTGTTGTAACTTAGTTGTTATTTTGTCATAATTACTAAAAACTCATGTTATTTGAGATTGATAAATGTATTATAATTTATTTTCAAAACTGAATCTAGGCGAAACTTCATATCTGCTGGAGCTGCTGCTGGTGTTGCGTCTGCATTTGGATCGCCTGTTGGTGGTCTTCTGTTCTCTATGGAGGAAGTGTCTTCGTTTTGGAATATGAAGCTGTCATGGCAGACGTTTTTCTGTTGTATGGTTTCTACTTTTACAACAGATCTTCTAAATTCTGCATTTACTGCATTTTATTATCAAGGAAATTTTGGATTATTTAAAACAGAGAAGTACATATTATTTGAGGTAACTTTTTTAAGAAAGTTTTTTAATGTTACCAGTCTTTAAATCTTTCAAAACATTTTATGTTAGGAACATGCATTATTTTGAAATTGATAAAGTGCTCTCATTGCACATTTTGTTACTTTTTGATTTTGCATATTTCAGTAATTAAGAAAGAATTCTTCCATTAAAGTAACTAAAACATTGGGGGGGGAGGAAATGTTAACATATACCTTTCCCATACTCTATTTATTGCAGAGATTTTTATAGTTTCATAAAGACTGTAAAAATTTATTACACTTTGTAATAATGAATTTTAAAATTTTAAATTGATAGTTCAATTGTGTAATTATATAATTAGCAGATTTGGTAGTTTTCTGTAATAAAACTATTAGTATGCAATAAATTGAATGTATACTTTATGATATTCAATGAAATACTGTCATTGATGAATGAAATACTGTCATTATGGTATAACTAATTTCAGCTTAATCTGCATATTTATTTTGTTTTGGATATTTTTATTTCAGGTTGTGAAACGAATTGATTTGAATATTTTAGCTGTTATCCCAGCAGTTTTAGTTGGAGCCTTAGGTGGCATGCTAGGTGCAGTATTTACTTTTCTAAACCTAAAAATTGCCCGTGCAAGGAGAAAAGTGTTATCTTCCATAAAATCTACATATCTCCAGAAAACAGCCCAAATATCTGAACCTCTGTTAATAATGGTAAACTAATGTATGTTATTTTATATTCTACTTTTCTATGCTTGTTTACACATGTTATGAAAGTTCAATAAACTGTATGGAAATAAATTTCAATGTATGTTAATTTTAACTTTAATTACTTGTTTACATTACAACTAAGATGTAAGGAATTAAAAATTCTTTGAGAAAACAATAAATCAGAACAGTTTCAGTGTGCTAATATTGCCTTTATTAGCACAAGCAGTTCCAGGTAGAAAATTATATTGCTTATTCTTAGTTTATAGAAATGTCAGTGTTTCGTTTTGCCATGTAAAAAGTGAGAAAAGTTGTCTTTAACTCTTGATATTGATATATGTAGTTGTGTATTATTCTGTTTTCAAATACTTGTACATACATATAGGTATAAATATTTTAGTAAGTTTTAGAATTTATTTAATACAAATAATTGAATTTAATTCCAATTTGTCAAACTTTGTATAATGGTTTGCAGCATTTTAACATGTTAATCTGAACTCCTTTATATTTATTATGTTATTATAACTGAAATAGTATGTTTGTTTTAAAAATGTGTGAAGTTGTTTCTAAAATAGTATTTAATTTTGAGTAGCACTTACTTAACCCCTTCGCGCCGACTGTCACATCTACGTGCCAGCAACAAACACACTCACTTCCCGGCCGACACGCAGGCGTGCCAGAGCATTTTCCCGTTCAGCCCGACTGTCACGTATTTGTGCCAGTGTTCTGGAATGTTTTAAAAACTATAATTTCTGCCACAAGATGGCACTGTATGTCCATATGGTTTCAGATACATGTACATTAGACCTTCTACTCGAAATGAGAGAAGCATGACTCACATACACGTGTTTTCGATTATATAAACAAAAGGAGAAATAAATGTTTCCGAATGGCATGATTTATGACGTCTCTTTAAATTCGCACGTGGTAGTTGTGTGTAATTACAGATGAAAAAGGGTGTATAATGAGGAAGTACATGATGAAATACTGTTTCTCTGACTCATATTATATAGTTAAAATTTTTTTTATAATGTTTGGTATTCAATTTGTATAAATGCTATTGTTGTTTATTGTAAGTAGAAAAGTTTTATTTTCGCTAAAGCGTTGGGTATTTCGGTTTGCAGTTCAGTTTTTAGAAAATAATGAAATTTTGTTAGACGTGAATTCTTTCTGTTTTTACCGTTGCAATGTCAAAGAGTCGAAAATGTTTTACAGAGCTTGAAATAGCAGAAATGATGCAAAATATTTCAGATATTGATTCTGAAACAGATTCTGATAGTAGTGATAGTGATACTATGATATATTCTGATCATAAAGAATCCGGCGAATCTAATGATGACATCGGCATACAGATGTCCGAAATGTCCTCATCATCATTAATCCTTAATTAATTAATGCCCTCATCATCAATGTCGTTATTACGAGTGCAAGGAATGTAACGTAGGACTGTGTGTAGATCCCTGTTTTCAAATTTTTCATACGAAAAGAGAATGTTAAGTAATATATTTAGTTTTCAGATGTATAATGTTAAAAGTCATAAAATGATGAGTAATGGAAATAAAATGTGTAAAATATCCATTTAAACAAGAAATAAGGTAATTAAAGTATATATAAAATATTTATAAAGCATAAGCCGTTTAAATACTCTATAGAGCATTATTAAACAATAAATCGGAAATTTCATGGATTTAGGCTTAATAGCAAAAAAGGCCCCCGGCCCTGGACAGACGCTCGCGTAAGACATTGCCGGCCTCCGCGATAAGCGTGTGTTTGCGCTACCCGGCGCGAAGGGGTTAAGGGCAGCATATACCATACAATGGACTGAATGCCTGCTAGTTGTATACTGCCATTTTTTGTAAAGCACAGTGAGCTGAAATGAAATACCGTGTTTATTAAAGAGATATTTCATATGAATGCAATTGAGCCATTTATTCTTGGCATTTATAGCAATCTTGTTATTACTGTTCATGTGTTTGATATTCTCCAATAAGTCATAGTACAGATTTTACTGTAAATTTGTTTATACTGTATAATGAAGTTTTGTATTCCTTTGTGAATTATATTTCGGCAGGTGGAGCCAAAGATACTTTTTGTGCATATGTATGTGTGTAATTACAGATGAAAAAAGGGTGTATAATGAGGAAGTACATGATGAAATACTGTTTCTCTGGCTCATATTATATAGTTAAAATTTTTTTATAATGTTTGGTATTCAATTTGCATAAATGCTATTGTTTTATTTCATTTTCTCCATTACATGTTTAAACATGTGCTACTTTCATTATACGTTTACTTGTCTTCTCTTTCTTTACTGGCTTTCTCTATCTGCTATTTCTTAACAGCATTGCTTTCAGGGAAGGCATAGTACAGAAATATCACTGAAGATACTCTTGTAATTCTTCTGGTATAAAATTATTATAAATGACATTCATGTAGCAGTAATTTGATTATTGAGCTCTCACTATTTTTCTTCTGCTGTTGTAACCTTGTTTCCCACTTACTATCTTCTGTAATTGGCTGAAGTTTTACAGTTATTGAAGAATTATTTGGTAAGTAAATTATTTATTAGTGTGATGTTTGAATTCTTGTGAATTATTTGAAATTGAACTATTAAAACTGCCAAATTTTACAGTATGCCGTGGAGCCCTTGGAAATTTTTGCTCTTTTATTTACTGTATATTTCCACAGATAAAGGTATAAATTTTTCTCAAATTTTTATAGTTTTAGTATTTATCTATTCTGTAAGGCAACCCTCAAACTATCAGTAGCCTATGAATTTAGTTTAGATCAATCATCATCTGGAACAAATGTTATTTTCTTGCATCTGGTAGCACTCCCTGTAGAAGCATGTGCCAAACCATGAACTCACATGTGCCTCTAGCAGTTTTCATGTAGGTTGTGCCATGTGTTAAGATAATTTGTATTCTAAGTTTAATCAGTGTAAAATTTGTAAAGTTTGGCTCTGATAAAAGGAAGGAAATATGAAGCAAGCTTCAAGTTAAAAGTCATAAAACAGGTCGAAGAATCAAAGAACTGTGTTGCAGCAAGGACTTTTGATATAATAGAGAAGATGGTAAGAGATTAGAAAAAGTATGAAGATGCTATAAAAAATCTAAATGAAAGAATGTTCTGATTAGGGCTTATGCATTGAAGTGGGTGCAAGCCAATCCAGAAAAGAGAAAAAATTTAAGCAACAGTAGGTTGATGCAACCATTTCAGAAACAGAAACTTTCTGGTAATATGCCAGGAAACAAAAATTATGCAGAAATTACCACAAGATCTATACCATAAAATTATGAGTTTTTCACAAGTTTGTTATTGGTATGAGGCAAAATACAACTTTCCATTATCTAATATTGGAAATATGAATGAAACACTGATGACCTTCAACTTGATAAACAATAGAACTGTGGAAACAAAAGCCATGAAAATTGTTAAATTCAGGAGTACAGGCCATGAAAAGACCAAGTTTATGGTAGTATTAACATACGTAGCAGATGGAACAGTTAAAATTCATCTTCATTTTTAATAAGTCGTAAGGTCGTAAAATGAAATTCCCACCAGGCATTTTTGCACATTTTCATAAAAAGGTGTGGAAATGGCAGGAATGGTGTAAAAGTGTGGATGGAAAATGTGTGGCAGACGTGACCAAGTGCTGTATGAAATGAACACTGTTTGTTGTGGTATATGTTTTGTAGTCATGTAACTGTGAACACTGAAAATCCCTTAGCACAGAACAATACCAAGAGTGCTGTTACACCTGGTGTCATTTTCAATGATACACCCATTAGACGCCTCTCTGAACAAACCATTCAGAGGTCACATGTTTGAATAATGGAATAACTGGATATTGAGTGGTGAAATGTCGTATACGAAAGGTGGAGCTATGTGAGCTGTGTAACTTGATGTGCTTTTTGATTTTATGGTCAAATTGTGGGAAAAAAGAAAAGTGGAAGCAGTGATAAAATCCTTCAAAAAGTAAGGGATTTCTAATGCTATGGATGGCAGTTAGGAGGATTTATTATGGGATACTGATTATGAAGCAGAAATCAACTTGCTAGGTATAGAATGGGACACATAATGATGAGCTTGTCAACAATGAAAGTGAGGATGTAATTGAGAAGCTAATTTGCCTCAGATGATGAATGTGAAAATATTGCAGGACTTTCAATACATTGATGAGTGATTTGTTTTATTTTGAAATTTATTTGTTTTATTTGAAGTGAGGTGTGTGTAATTCGTAGATTCCTTCGCTGCTTAGAATGTGCAATTTGTAAATGTTTTTGAAGTTAAAACGTATCGCTGTGTACATGGATTCTTGTCAAATATTTTTGGTTAGAAACTTTACGTTTTCGCTATCTAAATTTTTTGTTTTGGATTTTTAGCTTAAATTGTGTCTTCAGAAAGTGGTTTTTGCATGTGCAAAAACCGCGTTTTTGGAGACATTTTATAGGATTAAAATTCAAAATGTAGACAAAAAATTTAGGTAGTAATATGGTGGCATGGAGTTTCTCGCCAAAAATGTTTGGCGAGAAATTCGGCGACCTGAGGGCGCATATAAGAGTAGTTCCAAATTTGAATCTATTTTTTTTTATCTGACCTATAAGATGACCCTGGATTCTAGGGCTTTTTTTTAATGATTCAGCTGCTGTCTTATCTGCGGAAATATATGGTGTATGTTAATTATTATTTATGAATTAAATTTTTATCAGAAATACATTTTCATTGAAGATAAATGAGATAATATTACAGGTGTTCATTTACATGTGATTGGATATTTTCAAAGTTCAGTAAATTGGCAGAATGAAATTAACAAAAATTGGTAATTGTTTTGAGTTATGTTGTTTATAAATAATGTTTGCAACTGTAGGGCAGTTTTAAGAAGTTGACCATAACATGTTATATACAGTATAGAACAGTTAAGTTGTTACATACAGTATAGAACAGTTAAGAACAGTATCAAAACAAGAATTGTTATTAATTAAAGCTTTTCTTGATAAATGGAACTCCATAGCTGGATCCTGTTTAATTCAGTTATTGTTGGTTGGTTCAGAAACATTTATTTATAATATTGAAGTTAAAACTTAGGGTAATTTTTATTTTCATGTATTGTTGCCTTTTTGAATTTATGGAATGTTATTTAAGGTATTTATAGCAGTTTATTTATTTATATTGTTTTTTTATCTTTTATTTAAACTTTCAAGTGAGTAACCCTTTATGTGCTATTGGTACTGTGTACAATATTGGTGGCTTGTAAGCTCCATGCTAGCTTGTTTTCCGCACCTGTAGTATGATTTAGCAAAAATTATTATTAATCGCTACACATTTCTGATGCATGTATGATTTCATTCTTTTCTCATTTTTGTGAAAATTTCTAATAGCATTTAATTTAAAATTGACTCTGGTGCTTCAAATAAGTGCCAGTTGTGTTTTTAACTTGTATTGCGTTTTAAGACTTTAAGGGTATTTACCTTTTTATGACAAATGCATTCAAAATTGCATTTTGATTTTTAATGTGTGGAAGTGTAATGTTGGATTTTATCTCGGTGTTACTGTATCTGTAAAACTTTACACAAAAGCTAAAAAAGTATTTTGTATTTCTGCATGTATTTTTCAAACATTTTTTGCTATTTCTTGGCTAGTTGAATATACAAATGAAAAGTTATGTTCTGAACTATTTCAAAATTCCTCATTAAACAATGCATAATTAGCACTTTTTTTTTTGGTGTGAGTACTTTAAATAGAAAATTGAGTGTTAACTGACTACTAATATCTCTTAAGTATTGAATGTAAATTATTAAATAAGATAATTAACTTTACTGTTTGCTATATTAATCAAAATATTTATGAATTCTTAATTTCTTGGTCGCATTTGCTTTCTCTGCCCAGCACTGTGGATTCATATGTTGTCATTTTCAGCTTCTTGCATTATTAAATAATAATTGGAAACATCCAGAGCACTGAGAATCATTTAAAAAAACTTTTCTCAATTACTGTTGGTTAAATTTATTTTCATTATCCATATGCAATGTCTAATTCAAACTCAGTCATTGTATTTTACCCTTAGACATCAACCTATAGTTACTTAAAACCAAACTTTGCATAAAATCTTTAAATTTCATTCTTTTAAAGATTGAGATATCAAATGGCTGTTAGATTGAAGCTAAGCCAAGAGGAATCTTAGGTATATTTCTTTCATTCTTTGCAGACAAGCTTCATTTCATTCAACTTTCATGGATTCATTTCTTTATTTTGATGAATGTCTGTTACATATCTTATTTCTATTGTTTGTTTAAACAATACTTCAATATTATTTTCCCTTAAATATTCCTGATGAAAATAAGTGTTAAAAATTGCATCATGCTGAAATATAGTTGTCCTGTTAGCACTTTGAACAAACTTCTTAATCAGTCCTTACTTGTATAGAAGTTGATTACCACTGTATAATATTGTGATATAGTTACAATTGCTTATAGGTTCTAGAATCAATATTTACCATCTTTAGTTTATGAAAGAATATAATTTTGTTTTAAGGCATTATTTGTTAAAAGAATGAAGATGAAGTGAATTCAGAGAAAAAAAAATGTGTTGTTATTAAAATTCATATAATATTTAAATGTTGATAGGAATCTCTAGTGGGTGATTTTTAGTATTTGTATTTTATTCAGGATATTTGTAATTATTATGAACGGTAAGTTTCTCGTACATGAGTTGTTATGTGAATTTTTAGGTCGTCATGGGAACAGTCTCTGTTTTCTTGCCAGCTTTGTTTCCTTGCACAACATTCTTTTGTTCACTGGCTAGTAAAAAATCAGAATGCAATACCAGTAATCAAATCCTTGTAGAGCATAATGTGGAGCATTATAGCTGTCCTCACAGAGAGAACATAACGGCAGTTCGGTCAGGATATAATATTAGCTATAATGAAGGTAAATGTTTGTACGGATTCTGTTAAAGCTATTTTAAGATTTAAGAAAAAGGCTAAAATACTAATTTCTTATTATTATGATATTTGTTTCCTGAAATAGTTTTGGTTTCACTAAAATAATAGATTTTATATCAAATGTTATAGAAAGCTAACAGGCTGAATTTGATATACATGTAAACACTTTTAATGGGAAAATGATAGATGATGACTATTTTAGGGAAATATTTATAGGCTTATAACATATTTACAGCTCACTTTTCATTGGCTTAGATCTACATAATCATGTTGCACACATTCTTCATTACATGCAACAAAGCAGTGGTTCTCAACCTGGTTTATCTCATTCATCCCTTTCTCCTCATTCATCATTTTCCCCGTCTCCTTTTCCAACAATAGAAATGTTGACAAATACCTGAACTTGAATACTTTTTTATGTTCATAAAAAAAAAAACTAAATGCTTAACAGCTGAATAAAATGCTGACTGCATAACCCCCCGAAGCTATGAAATTTCCACCTTAAGGTTGAGAACTCCTGCAAAAGAGAACGTGCTCTGCTGGGTAAATCCCCACAATACTTTCATGCTGTATGCAGTACATTCTTGGAACACCCAGCAGTAGCTGTCAAATATGTGAAATACCCTGGCTTTGTTCACTACCAACCCTATCAAGTTTATCCTAGCTTTGTTCTGTAGCATACAAACATAATGGTTGCATGGGGTTCCTAATAATTTTCTACATATAGCATAAATATTGACTAGTTTCACTTAAAAAGCTCACCACTAGGGCATCCTTTTGTTAATCAAATCGTTTAGTATGCTTTTCAAAAATTAAAAAATCCAGTTTTATTAATTCTGATTGCACAAACTATGAATCATATTCAATTTATACTATTCAAAGGACTATTTTTAAGATAATAGTTCAAATGTCTACATTATATACTTTAATTGGCCAAACTGATTATATAAGAGCTTTGATATTTCCGTTTCAGTCTTTGAAAATGCTGAATTGTTTTGAATTGAAATAATAAAGGAATAAAAATGCATCCTTAAAAAGTATTTGTTGATTTTTTAATCGAGTTTTCTGTCCAGATGTTTAAAACGTCTGCTAAATTTATTAATTTTAGTGTGAAGTGCATTATAAATTTTTGTTTTTTGATGTGTTCTTAGTATTCTAAACTAGAATGTAAAATTGTATAAAGACATCAATGTAAAGTAACTTGATGCTGGCAAAAGAAGTTTGTTTTGTATAAAATAATAAAGAATTTTGAGTTTCATGTTAATATTTTATTATATGAATTTCTAAATTAAATTCATTAAGAATTCTTACTTAGTTTCTTAGTTTAGCAAAAAATACTTAAAATGCAACTACTAAATATATTTAAAAAAGTAAAATTCCAGCAGATGAAGAAATTTTGCATGATCCTTCATCACAGTAATGTTTTGGTACTTTTCTGTTAACAGGAAACCATTTAGCACTAATATAAATGTTAGCATGAAATCTAACCAGACAGCAACATTTCTAATGATACAAAAAGTTTCATGATAAAAATGAATGTATAATAACAGGATGTTTCATATAATTTGTAATATATGTAATGTTTAATGTTCACAGTGCAAAAGCTGTGCACGAGTGTGAAAAACTGATCCCTGTGTGTTAAGAACTCGCTCAAAGAATCACATCAGACTTGTTGGAGTATTGTACATAAACACATCAGAGAATTGTGCAGTTTGGCACTATGCACATCTGATATTGCACAAATAAGATCAGATGTGCATCAGATATCCTTGATGTGATGAATAGGTGCATACATTTGCCGATTAGTACAAACTGCTGAAAAGTACCAATGTTATACATAGCCTTAGTAATTACATAATTTTGTAAACTTGTGTGATAATTAATTTGATGTAAAGCTTCCTCTTAATTCTGGGAGAAGTTAAAAGTTGTTTTTATTTTTTTAGCTGCAACTTTATTGTTTCTAACTGGAGAAAAAGCTATTCATCATCTTTTCTCCCGGGAAACACATCTGGAGTTTAATTTCATATCTTTGTTTGTCATTTTGCCTATATATTTTGTTCTAGCATGTTGGGCTGCTGGCACTGCAATTTCCAGTGGTGTTGTTATTCCAAAAATGTAAATATAAATAACCGTTTTTTATATCAATTTTGTAAATTTTTTTAAAAACTTTTTCCTTTAAATGTACTTTTATTTATAACATATTGTTTTCCGATAAAATATTTGATATAAGTCTTAATTCTGTTGGGGAGAATATTATTATCCTTTTTTTTTTTTCTTTGGTGCATGGGTGTATTCAGTATTAAAATTTCAAATGAAGAAATAACTGATAAAGAATGCTAATTAAGAAAATTCAAATATGTAGAGAAAATAAAACCTAAAATATTTTGTTTAAAATATTTTCTTCCTATTACTGCTTTTGGAACTTCTAAATATATTGCTAAGCAATAATTTATTTTTATTTCCATTGTAGGTTTATTGGTGGTCTGGTGGGGCGTATTGTTGGTAGAGTTATGGTAGAAGCGTTTGGTATTCATTCTGATCAATACTGGGCATGGATGGACCCTGGTGCTTTTGCTTTAATAGGTGCAGCTGCTTTCTTTGGAGGAGTATCACGACTCACCATGTCACTTACAGTTATAATGGTTAGTTATATAGCAGTATTATTTCAAATTCAGTTAAAAAAGTTAGTATAACTGTTTTCTTAACACTACCTCATTTTTTTTAACATCTTTTAAAAAAAAACTTTTAAGGCAACTGGAATGAAGCTCTGCTATCGTAAAATTTTATGTTTTTATTGTCTGAATGAAACATGAGCTAGAAAATGTTTTAGTTAAGTAGATACAGTATAAAATAATATCACAAATTTAACCAAAATCTTTCCTAGTAAATGTCCTTTATGTAGAAGAGAGGCATTCCAATTTAAAATTTAAAGTAGGTAAACCAATTTAATATTAAGGTAAAATTTCAAATTAGGAGACTGGCATTGGATCCTTTTGTTAAATAGAGGAATCCTCATCAGTTGGGTTTTAGCTGTACCTTTTTTCTAAATATAAGTGTTCGAAGAGCAATGTGAAACATCCGAAGAGAAGTGCAGAACTCCCTCATTTCACACAGTTTAAATTAACACATTTTTTAATTATGGTTTATCATTTGCAAGTTGTTTTTATTTCATATGGAATGAATTTTGTAGAATATGGCCCAGATGGTATTTCTATGGAAGTCACAGTTGAATAGTATATATTTTCTGGCTTGTGTGCTTAATCTTACACTGCTACTTTTGCACCGAGAGCATGAAGATGTACTAGTGCCCTGATCTTTTCCAACTTTAAGGTAATTATTTAAAACTGACTTTTCAAAAAACTATTCAAGATACCACAAGTGATAATTCAATTTCTTTAGTGTAGCTGTGGTACAAATTTCACATAAAATGCAGTTGAAAAATCGTAGAAATGAGTGACATCAATGAATATTACAGCTGGATGGAAAGAACATTTTTGTAAGTTTTATGTTAATCATAGCCATTGGACAAAAATTAGGCTTTTATCAAGTCGACTTTGCAAATCTGGAGAAATTGTTGGACTTGCATGAAGAAAGAATGAGCAATGGTGATCTCATTAACATCGATGAGCAGTGAGCATGCAATGTGATAATGACAGTTTTACTGATGAAGAAACCATTTTGCAAGTGAAAAGTTTCAAAAAAGTGTTTCACATAATTCATATTTATCATATGATTAATAATGAAATGAGCTACTGTAGGAAATGTATGAAGAGAAAGGGTTTAAACTGCAAGAAACTTTCTGATGGTGGCCACCGCCTAACATGATTGTCTCCAAAAGTGATTAATACTTCTGACAATAAATAAATTACAGCTTGTTCATTATGCCTTTGATGTCTTTTGTCAGAAAAAGCATACATTAAATTTTGCCACAAGACTAATAATAATACTAATAAAGAAACGTTTCTTTTGTGCACATTTAAATTGTTAAAAAGAAACATAAAAGAAGATGTAAGAAATATGTGGACAAATTTCAGTATTTTGTATGTGTATTTAATTAAACCAATTTCCTTTAATATAATATTTCTTTGTAATTAATTAAAAACATAAAGAAAAATTTTCTGTGCAGTATCTAAATGGTCTTATCAGTTTCTGTGAAGAACTAGAGACAAAAGAGAGCATATGCAAAATATAATTAAGCTTCAGAACCAAATAAAATATTTGAGAAACTCTTTTATTGGAACTACTGAAATACAGTTTTTTTATAATGAATATGTATGAATTCGAAAATATAGAAGTGGGAGTGCCATGTAAAAATTATGTGGAAAGTGAAGATGCCTTGAGATGGAAAAAAGTAAAAGTTGAAATAAAGTAATGTAGAGTTGTGATTTTAATTGAAATAATGAAAATGGTTAATGAGTAGATTTTTTAACATTTGTTTTTAAACTGCTTTATAAATCTTTTGCATGAAAATGTATCCATATCTTTTAGCAATGAAGACATCAAAGTAATGATTTTTTACAACTACAGCAAGCTGTGCATGTTATTTTTAATTTATGCATTTACGATGTTGAGAAGAAACCCAGGTTAAATTTGGGATCTTGTTTGAGGACTTGCAAAGGGGGAATGTCAGTTAGCTTGATATTACTGTGTTGCAAAAGCTAATATTGAAAAAAATTGAGGAAATATTTAAAATTTGATTCTTTTTCATCAAATTAGAACATTTTCAACATTCTTTAAATGGGAAAGACTTAAATAAATAATAACAAACTGTTTAACTGATTTTAGAAAATTAAATATTTGCAAAATAGTTAAAATGCATCTGTGTGGTTTTTGTAAAAAGTGTAATTGCAGAAAATAGGAAGGAGGAGAAGAGCTCCCAAAAAATGCAGATTTGTTTTACTATGAAATAAAGACATTTTTTTTAAATCTGTAATTTTTTAATAATCCACACAGATGCATGTAGTACTTTTTGAATATCGTACACATACTCAAATATTTAAACTGTGATGAAAGTTGCTTAATTTGAACTGCATTATAATAAAGTAAGTTTTTACTTTTGCTGATGCTTCTTCTAGACATCAGCTTCTTAGCAGAATATAATGAATGTTCCATTTCATATATTTGTTTCTTGAATGACAATTTTATCTTTCTCTGCTTTATATTCTGGGGATTGTATTATTGCAGAAATGTTATTTAAATTTCAGCTTGAGTGATTTTTTTTAATATTGAAAAAATTATAGCTAACTTGTAAATCTGCAAAAGAAATCGGTTCACCACATCTTTTGCTATACTTAAAGATTTTTAACATAACTTTTGATGATAATTTTTTTTTTTAAATTTTTTTATGGAAAAAATCTAAAAATGCTACTTGTCATTTATTAGAAGATCTTCAACTGAGATTGATTTTAATATGTTTGCCTTTTGTAGTAATTTGATTATGCATGATTTTACCATTTGCTTTCAGTGGCAACTTGATTATATCATTCAAAACTCTATTGATTTTTATAGGATTTTAGTATTGCTGTTAAATAACTAATGTGAATGAAAGCTATCTATTCTTAGGTAAAATATGAAAAAAAAAAAAACTTGCCTAGAACTATTATTTATTTATACAGATATGCTATTTTGGATTTATTAGATCATGCTAAATAATGCTAGGAGTACCTGCCCAAGGGTTGAGATACCTTAATGAATTGCTTTCAAAGGGAATGGGCTCATTTTTTCAGTACACATGGAGAAATCAAGAAAATGCCCACGCTACTAGCCTCTTTGCTGAGATCTTAGCCAAAGCTTAGCTAAGTTGCTCAGCACTCTTATCTGTTCAACTTCTGGTGGGTGATATGCTGTTTAGTTGACTGACTGATTGCTATCGGTTCCTGCTTTCCTCTGATGAGGAGAACTGACTGCTTTTGAAAAATTTTGTCAATAGCTGAAAGTTCTATGCAATGATTTCATGTGACATGGGAGTTAAGCAAAATAATTTTTATTTTTACACTTTAAAATTTTATTTAGTAAGTTTTAATAGTTTGAAGATATCATTTATTGCATCTTCTGTGCTAAAAACAATTACGATAGAATACACAACTGTTTTGTTTCAGGTTGAATTAACAAATGATGTCCAGTTTCTTCTGTTGATTATGATTGCTATCATGGTCTCAAAGTGGGTTGGTGACTATGTAACACATCCTTTTTACCATGCTCAACTAGAATTAAAGTGCATTCCATTTTTGGATTCAGAGCCAGTAATTTTGTATGATGGAAAAAGAAAGTAAGTATTTTAATTACAGTGCAAAGTCCGAAATTCGGACGTCCATTATCCGGAATGATCTAAAATCCGTACCTCAAAACCATCAACAACGTTTTTCTCGGCTTTATGCATGCGCATTTGATTCCCCCCTCCGCGCAAAAATCTGTAGAGTTGCGATTCTTAATTTCACTTCGACACTAAATAAAATACGTTGTTGTTGAAGAAACAATCATTTTGGCATAAATTTGTACGATCAGTAATTTGGCTCTGTTGCTGCCTATCTGCTTGCCACACATCTCAAACCAAAACATTCCACATAGATACATCGTTGATCTAACGCTGACCTGGCGAATAATTATTTATTATACTTTCCTTTCATCATCGCATGTTTATGAACACATGACAACTTGAGTAATGACTCATTTAGCAATGCCTAAACATTTTTTTTAGTAATTGAATAAGAAAGGAGTATGGTAACCTTTTATGTTGACATTACACTTGTCGATGATTACAGATTCAAGTTAAATGCGATAAAAAATGTTGACAAAGAAAAATTCAACAAAAATCTTTCCATATACTAAAAATAGATTTTATTGATGATACTTATAGGTCAAAAGATTCCATTCATTCTTATTTGAATTAAGAATAACTGATTTGTTATTCACATAAACCTAGAACCAGTGTCAGGACTCTTATAGGCCGGCAATGCGTTCGGCACAATTTAGGACCGACAAAGTCTGCATCAGGCGGTAAAGATATCCAGCTGCCGGCCCTCAATAAGGCTTATAGTATGTGTGGAATTTATTTATTCAGAACTCTGATAAGCCTTAAGCATGTACAAGAAATAGACATAAGTTAAATAAATAAAGTAATACATTTCAAGCTTAATTGTCTCTGCACGATAGCAGTAAGATAAAATTTAACGGAACAACTTGCCGTTAGTCGCCTAGCTCATGATGCATAGCCAAATATGTATACTGAATGATAGCTAAATTTGATGATGATAGCCGCGAATTTTAAAGGTTTTCCGATATCGCAAAACAAAGGTAAAATTTTCCAATTAACGGGTTTTGTAAAGAAATGTGGAGGAGCGGTAATAAATGAAGATGATATAAAAGAAGTTTTTCATTGTGATGACAATGCTTCTCAATCATCAATCAATTAATGAATAACGAAATCTGCAGTATGGTTCTAGTTCCAATAGTGAAAAACGTGATTGAGAAGTTGCTGAAAACGAAAAAATTTTGATTGACAAGTTAGTCGAAATTCTCCAGACAGCAGTTACGGGACTTCAGCAATGTAACTGAACAAGAGATTATGAGTGTCTGCAGAATTAAAGAGAAAGTATTAGCCCAAAATCAAAGCAACTTAAACAACTTACATTAAAAGAAAAGTTTAATAAAGTAAAAAAATAAATATTAAGCAGTTTTTTGAAAATGTTGATACCCTTTAGATCATAAATGCTTCTTTATTTCATAAATCACGATTTCTTATTTTTAATTTTATAATTTCTAGATAGAAAGAACTAGATTTAAACTAATGATCTAATATCCGTAAATGTCCCAAATCCGGAACTGAATCGCCGAGGTCCCGACGAATCCGGATTTCAGTCTTTGTACTGTATATGTACGCTTTTTTTTTTTCATTTAATGAATATACAATATACACGTTTTTAATTGAAAAGTGAAAAATTTAAAAATTGTATACAGTGGTAAAATTACTAATAAAGAATTAATTTCTAATAAAAACTAACTAAGAGGAAATGTCCAATTCCAAGTTTTGGAAATACTTTCGATTTTGGTAGCTTACTGAATAATAATCCTGTTCTAGTGTCATTGTATGTTTATTGACTGTCATGACTGAGTTTTTAAAGAATTGACAAAATTATTTTATGGTTGGAATGTAATTAATTTTCTTTAATCTGGATATGACATGGATCGTAATCTAACTTAACAAATTTGTAAAATGTTACTACATAAGATTTAGAAGGCTTGCCTCTCTTGCATAACAGAGAGATGAGCATATTTCAAAATATTTCTTGTTTTTGAGTTATTTTTGAATTTGAATTTAATGCAGTCTTACTGCTGTATCTTCTAAAATATTCTATTGAAAAGCACATTTAATTTGGTTGATTCTACAAAAAGTTAATAAAAAGAGTCATGGTATTTTAACTTTCATATATGAAAAAAGATTTAATATAGGCAAACAACTGTGTCATATGCTAAAGGAAATTTATAGAACACTTGTTTACAGATTTTACTAATAGGTAAAATATCTTCAGAAAATGAGCATTTATAATACTAATGTTAATGAAAAAATATATATACATAGCTGCATGTTTTACGAGGAGTTCCTTTTTTAACATCCCACCAACCTATACACATATATACGGGAGGTAATATTTTCGGTCTTGACATTCATTAATGAGTTTTCAGTGAATAAGCATGAATTAGTATATCCACAACAGATTTTTTTTTGTCTGCAGTAACTCATATATTGAACTTCCAAAAATTTCTTTTTTCCATGTTTAAACTTCCTGCATTCATAAAGCAGTCAATTAGATTTGTGGCGAAATTGAACAAATGGAAGTTATACTTTACATTAAGCACATAATAGTTTTTAACAGACAACTGGAAGTGTACTTACGTGAAGCCCATAACAGTTTTTAATGAAAAACTATATTAAAATATAATCTAAAACTTTTCTGTTTTTATATTTAGGACGTTTATATCAATAAGAATGAGATATTAGATTTTGGCTAAAATTGATAAACAAGAAGGGATACTTGAAGCTCTGAACAGATTTTCCTGAAAAAATATACTATGGTATAATCCAGAACTAAATTTCTCGTACTTGGTATTTAAAAATGGCATAATCATATACAATGATGATTGAAGACAAGATCTTTGACTATATATATGATAAAACAGAAGTGGTACTTTACTTGGAAGTTTTAACAGATTTTTGTGGAAAAATATGGAATTAGTGAAATAAGCATTTAATTTAAAATAATACAGTTTATATTAAGATTGTTCTACTGTATCTCAACATGATATTTATTTATATCAACACACAGAAGAGAAAGATTTCTAAAACAGCATTTCTTTAGCAGAATTTCAAAATTTTTCTAATTCAGGCATGTTAGCAAAAAATTCACTTGTTATTCTCTTGCACTGTTGATGCATAAAGTATCAATAGTGTTCTTTAATGGAATGCTGTGAACAAATATCAGTTCTGCCATCTTGATCTAATGCAGTAGAAATTCATGATTTTTCTTTTATTTTCCAGTGTGAGGATAGATTTCATTAATAGGAATGCACTGATATTCTTGCTAAGTTCAACATCATTTCAAGCTGAATCATGAATTGTTTCTGCAATGTGAATTTTAAGTAGGATAAAACTGAGCTATTTTTTTGTCCCCATTACTAGTCCTTACACATTCAAAGTTTCAATTCAATATAGAACCAAGAAAATGTCAATTGTATTCTTAGCGTTTCAGAATTCATAAAGTAGGTTTAACATTTCTTTAATATCAAAGATTTTAATCTATTTCAAGGGCTTCGCTTGATGCTAAAGTGGATTATCACACTCCTGATCATTATGTAAGTACTGATTCTTAATCACACCCTTTTCGTTTTTCTAACTGGTATCTGCGTTCTGCGAGATTCTGGTTCAGAACTCTTAATATTTCAAAAACAAAGTCCAACATTAAGAATCAGCGTAAATTAAAAAAAAAATTTTGCAGTGTTAGTTTCGATAGTTTTTGAACTACCTTCTTCAGCTGCTAAGTGCAAATGAACCAAATAAAGGGTGAAGAACCCCTGTTTCAAACAGAACATGAGTTTCATCCTGCCTTTCTGAACAATGCGTCAGTGAGCATCTGAGATGCAGAGATTTGTTATAGCTAACTTTAATTTAATAAGTTTTATGTTGGCATCTTCAGCAGTGACGAGCATTTTCAAAAACTGTAGCACAAAGTTTTGACTTAAAATTCCAATAAGCTACAAGATGTAAGCAGTAGTATAGCCATTTGCTACCTGGGATGATCTGTTGCCTGTTTTCCTTGATGCTCTCCAAAATATCTTTAAAGTATCAAAATGGCATATAGGAAAATAAATAAAAACTTTGTGTTTATTGCGAAGTAAAATTTAATTCCAAAATTCTAAAGTGTTTACTTTCCTTGCAAAATGATCATCATACAGACATTTGTTTCATTATTTCATTTGCTCTTTCATAAAGAATGCAGTATGATTTGTTAAATGTATGGTAATTAATTGCTTTTAGGCCTATAGTGCTCCTTAACCAATGTTTATTTAGAAAACTCTTCTCACAGTAAGTGATACAGTATTTATCTGGAAAATTTACAGTAATTGGTACAATATTTAGAACTGCATTCCGGAAACTATATTAAAATAAACTGAAGAAATTCAAAGTGACTGTTCTACCATCTGACTGTTTAATCTTCCCAAGCAATAACAGAAATAAAAGTCATGAAATATTTCTCTCAGTGTGAGCAACTCTTTATACTATTGGGATTATATTTCAACTTTCATATTTTTCATTAAAAAGTCAGGAAGATGGAGTGAGGATGTCAGGGTAAAAGCATGAAGCTTTTGAAATCTGTCCATTTTCATTACATAATTTTCCAGTGTAAAAAGAATTTTCCCTTCAATTCAGTTTCATAAGAAAATTCATGAAGTTAAGATTCTTTGCCTCTCTGATCACTGAGTGAATAAAATGGCTGAGTCCTGGAATTTTGACCTGGGGTCAAATCCCAATGAAGGCTGGCCTCATGAGCATTTTCATGGTTTACTTTTTTTTTCTCATGAGTAACATAGGGTATTCTTGCATGCTTGACGTAAATACCAGCTTATGCCAACTTCATAACTTAAATATGATAAAGTTGCAACTTTTAAGACTAACAGTCACCTTAAATAGTCTATAGTCAACTTCGATATGATCCAATAAATCCTATTCTTGGTATCTGCTCTGAATGTGGAAATGACAAACCTGTATAGTATATTTCACATGAAAAATATTGCTCATAAAAGCGTGCCAACCAGGGTAGGTTGCTCCCCTAACTATGCTGCTGGCTATTAAGTGGTGACAGCAAGTTTTCTGATATGTAAATGATTGTCTTGGTTTTATCAAAATCACGGGAAAACTAGTGTAAGGGATTAAAGTTGTAGAGTCTTATTCTTTTGGGGAGCAAAAATTGTAGACCCTATTGAAGATGATATAGTGAATTCTCACTATGTCTTGAAAAGAACAGATGACTGCTGACAAAGGTTGTAACAACCTCTTTTATTTTAACTCAATGGAACAGAACATGCACTCAGTGCTAACAATGTAACCCCCACTTGTGGCTAAGTAACTTAACACAAAATTGTATATACAGAGAATGAATTATGGAATTCAGAATGAATTATTCATTCTGTGTATATGCACAGAATTAATTAAATTTTACTACACGACTATCTCCTACTTTAATCTAAATTCACTTTATTGGCTGCACACAGCAAAGCTGAGTCTAGGATATCAATATAAATTAAGTGACTGGCACAAAATATTCATCAACAGAACTACTTGCAAAACATGTGGCATAAACTCTTAACTAACTCTTCTGCTGCAAACTCTTAAATTCTGCTACTTAATTATTATTTCCGAATGTGTTTTCATATACATAGTCTAAATTTGCGTTCGGGCAGGAAACTGAAATCAGAAGAGAAAGGAAAATATCTTAAAATAAAAGAGAATTGATTAGTACAAAATAAGGTTTTTACAAGGTATAAGAGCAAGTGTTTCATAAATACCAATTGCATAACTGTAGAACTATTATAATGCATCTTATTGCTTTAAATCAATAAATTTGTCCTTAAACGTCCATCAGTTTTAATTTTACTTCTCCCCCCCAAATGGTCAAAACTTTACATCTAAGTTTTAGGCCTCTTATTATAATTTTTCTTGCATCATAAATAGATCTGTATTAAATCTAAGAAATCTTTGTGATACAAAATACTTTAAATTATAATTTTAAGAAAAGTGTTTATTTTAATATGAAAACTTAATTTTTGCTACAAAGTATTATTGCTTTCATTTATTCAGACTTAATTTTATGTTAAAAGTATCAAAAGAGAGTGTATACTCTAAAATTTAAAGGTAATTTTGTCTTATTTATCTATTTAGTTTAAATCTTGAACTGTTTGAAGTGTGCCATATAATGTCAAGTCCAGTAATTACTTTGGAAACTGTCATTGCTGTTGATGCCCTAGCAAAACTGCTGTTGGAGTCAAAACATTGTGGTTTTCCTGTTGTAAAATTAAGTCATGGTGTTGAAACATTTTGTGGTTTAATTACTAGGTAAGTATCAATTTCTCATAACTGTCAAACACTTCTCTGAAACTTCATTTAGGTGCAAAATACATTTTATAATTTTACAATTTTGGAGACCTTTTAAGAGAAATTTAACATGAAAGCTCTCATAATAGTTGAATGGCTTCCTTTACGTTAACATAAATGCAAATCAATTTACTCTTGATTACAAAAGTCTTACCAATAGCCCAGAAAGACCATATGGACCTTTGTTGTACAGTGGTACTAGATAACGAATAGATGTGTAAGAATGAATTTCATATCTGTTTTGTACTCTGTTGCGAACAGGTCATGTTAACTGTTTTTGTTATTTTTAAGTGGATAACCTTACCTAAAACGCAAAGTTCTGAATTGGCATGTTACATAACTGCCAATTCTCCCAGGTTTTCTTCACATTTCCTAGTTTTTAATTTTTAGGCTCCTATTTTGCTGCACCTGCTGCAGTAGATCATAGAATCTCCCAATTTTTTAATGTTTAGCCTTTTATTTTTCTGCTACTGACTACTCATTTTTTAATTCATCATACTGCAGAATGAACCTGAATGGCCAATGTGATTATGAGACATTAGACAAGGAAGTGCACATAAACAGGTTTCTTATAACGAATCTGTACACTGCTGAAGTCAGGAGTGAGTTGAAAGAATTATAACCTAAGTGATAGGAAGAGTTTTTCAGCATTCATCTGCTCATGCCGTAGTGTTTTAAATTTGCAGTTAGTTGTTAACTACTTTATTTCGTTATTTGGCATGAACTGTTAAGTTTACTTTTATGATATTTAAAAGTGCTGTGGTAAATGAAAGCTTTCCTTCAATGTGCAGGATTTTTGTCAGTCTAAAAATTTAAGAAAATTATAAAATGAAGTAAAATTAATCCAAAAGTGTAAAATTTAAAATATCTAATTAAATATTAAAGTACACTCTTGTCCAAATTTATCTTTACATACTCAAAAATAATTATTCAATGAATATCCAACTTAATGAACTTAATTCCCCAAACTGTGATTAACAACATTATTGCCAACATGAAATTATGTGTGATATGTCTTTATGTTCAGAGATTTTTTTAAAATATAATATAGAAATATAGAAAATAATTTAAATAACTATGTATGTATTTTTCAAGTTTGGAAAGGAAGGGGTAATGATGTAGCAATGGTGAAAGGGGTAAATGAAGCAAAAAAGGTTGAGAACTATTGCTGTAGGGCTTGTGCTTCTACTATTATTAGGAAAGAACTAATATTACCGGCTTCCTTTTAGTACAGGCTTTAGAAGACAACATAAATCCAAAGCATGCAGAGTTTCATAAAAATGAGAATAATATTTTGAACTTTTATTTTTCAAATGTTAAAAGATCACTTTTGAGAACAAGACATTTTAAGTAGTTTTTAGTATTTATACTAAAAGGTGTGCTAACATATTCACAATATTTTAAGATTAATATATCCTTCTTATTACATACATTCCTCTTCATCATGCATGTCACTGATAGTTTTTATATCGGCAGTAAATGTCTGGATTCAGTAATTCATTCTCCATCCAGCTGTGAACTATCCTTTCAGTTTGTACACATCAGGATGAATATCAACAATTTCAAGAATGTCTAGAAATTTTATTGAACCTCTGTTGAATTATAAAACAATCTGCCTTTTAATTTAGTATTTGTTCTTCAACAAAAGTGTTTTACTGAATGAGTTTTCATAGGATTAACTTTGAAACTCTTGTTTGCATTCTGCGTTCTCCCACATGAGCATTTTAGTATTAAATTTTGTTGACACAGATCCATAAACATCTGTTTAATTATGTTCACTATCATCTTTGGCCATCTTCTGGACTTCTTCCTATATTTTGCAGTGTATGATACAGTTTGTTAAAATTTGACACTTGATTCTGACTTTAGCCCCTTCAAGGTCATTTCTCTCTTCTGAATTGCATTATGATTACAGTAACAATTACTTCAAAAGATAGTCAAGTCTTCTAATTTACTAAATTCTTCTGATCCCCTTTGCCCAGTGATGAAGTTCATAAATAAGTTGCATTGTGATCATAAATGAGCGAAGGTTGCTATGTTCTTGAAGACTATAACTGTTGTGGCTGACAGGACACTAACCATATATCTTGTGTTTTACACCTTGAACAGCACTAAAACATTGCTGCAATTTTGGAATACTGCATAATTTTAAAATTATTGGCATCTGCTGTGCAGTGTCAAAATACTAATTTTATAGCTAATCGATAAAAATGTTAATTTTCCACAATTTTCCCACCCTCAGACCTTCTGAATGTGTCCAGTATATTCATACGTAATTACATGTTTCCTAAATTATTATTATCGCACATCCATACTGAAAATATATTTTAAAAAATTGTCTTTTAAAAATTAGCTTTTGACAGAATTCTAACCCTTTGACAGGACACTCTCCAGGATATAAACACTCACTTCAATATCTTTCCATCTACTTAACTCAGTAATGGAAAGCTAAAAATGTGCTCTATCAAATAAAGTAATAAAATAAAAACATGATTTTTCATCAAAATTGGCCATTTCAACATATTCATCACAGTGTGCTATCGTCAAGATGTGAATACATTTTTTAACCCGTGAGCGTGTGCGCTGGGCCCAATAGACTTGCCCGATTAAAGAAACCTTTCTGAAAATGCCCCTATTTTCAAGTGGTTGTGGTTCAGTGGAGTCTGCTCCAAAGCCCTCCTCTTTCTTTATCTTTCCAAAGGTTTTCGCCGGAAATTTTATTCAAAGTTTTGTTTTAATCGGATTGGGTGTTTCAGACCCAGCGCACCTATTCACATTGCTGTAAGGTAGTTAATTTGTGGTAGCACAAAAAGCTGCAAACATATATAATTTAATATAACGAAGAAATGTTACGTTTGCAAAAATTATTAGATGTATCAACTGTTGAAGACTCCTTTGAGAAACTGATGAAAGTTATAATGAATTTTTTAGTTCTTATGATACTGATTCAGAAATCGAGATGCATTCTGAAAACAAAAATGAGAATGACATTTATTGCTTTATTGGAAAAGACAATAAAACCCAATGGTAAATAAAACCTAAAGCTGATGTCAGAACTTCTGCTCATAATATTATTACTAAATTGCCTGGAAGCATCGGTAAGGGAAAATATGTGTAGACTCCAAATGAATCGTTGGAACTTTTACTAAGTGAACAAATGTTGCTGAAAGTCATCAGTTATACAAATATTTATATTGTATTTATTTCTGACAGCATTCAAAGAGAGAGAGAGATGCTGATAACACAATTCTAACTGAAATTCACACTTTTATAGGTCTTTTATATTTTTTTTGACAGAAGTCATCTAATGTAAATGTGCAGGATCTGCGGGCAACAGACGGAACTGGCTTGGAAATTTTCCACAAAACTATGTTCTATAAATACTTTCTTTTTTTATCAAGACGCTTGCGTTTTGATGACATAGGAACCTTGCGTCATCAAGAAAGAATCAGATAAACTTGCACCTATAAGAGAGTTTTTTTGAAGATCTTGTGATTAAATGCCGGAAATATTACACTGTCGGTGAGTTCATGACAATTAATGAAAATTTGAGGAAAATGCTGTGAAATTGCTTTAAACAACATGGAATCATACCACCTTAAAAGCTATGTGAAAATGGCCATAGCTTAATGCAATCAGAAGAATAATAACAATACTGTGACTGAGTTACATATATATTTTTTTCCCTTTCCAAATTATCTGTAATTATATTCTACCCCTCCATGTTTTTCAGATCAGATTCTGTCGTATTACAATTGTTATGCCAGCTGTCATGAAAAACGTTTTTAGCAGGCACCAAAGTCTAATTTCAAGTTGTTGGTACCAACATTTCCAGTACCAGTATTTTCCAAACCAAGCCTTGTTTGAATTTGAGAGAGTGAACTGTATGTTTTCAGTTTGTCAGTTGCATTTGAGAACATACCACAGTAGTTCTTTCGATAATGAATATGATTATTATTTATATCTGGGATCAATGTTCAATTGATACATTATGAAGCTTTATTAAACTGATATATTGTAATAATATACTGATGGAAAGTCATTGCTTAATTTTATTCTAGAAATCATGCTTATGAGTAGATTATTTATCAACAAAATTTTTGTTCCCTGTTCAGTTATAATAATACTGTATGTGTATGTATAGCAACATTAGGAAAAAATAAAAAATAAAATGATTTGTGTCATAAAATGCAGAATGTTTTTCTAATATTCTTCATTTAATACTGTTAGCTGTTTAAAATTTATGCAAGTTCATTCTTGAACTCAAAAATGCTGTTAACATACTTAGAACAGAATAGCTTGAAAGCTATTCAGCACTATTCATTGAATCAGCAAAAGAACGTGTATAAACATGGATTTAACACATATCCAAATAGTGCTTAAAAGAATCAAGCTTCCAATTTTTTTTAAGTATTATGCATTTTTAAGAACTATGTAATTAGTGACTTGTTACATATTTCATAAGTTTATGTTCAAATTTATTACAACTGATGCAAGTATAAGCATTTTTCAATGAGTGTATTTAAACAGAAGGTCTATTAATTGCTGAGTCTTATTTCTATTTGTAATTAGAAATGTAAAGTTATTATTTTAGGAAATGCTGCTTAAATATGATTTTCAAATCACTATAAATATTGAATATAGAAATAATATTTAGCTTTTGCTTTCATTTCAGATATGTCTTGAAGTCATAAAGATACTCATCTGATATGTGCTTAACTGATAAAAATGTATATTGTGTAAGGTTAACATGAAGAAAGAAAACTAAGGAGATCCTAGTTTACAGTGTATTTATTCAAGAGCCAAATACATAATTTCAGAAATGTGTAATGAATTAAATAATAAAGATATTGTTAACTCTTCCTTTCAGCATTTTCAAATTAGTAATTAACTCACTAGTCTCACTTTCAAATTAATAATTAACTCACTAGTCATAACAAGCATGTTAAATGCTGTGAGTTACAGAGGAATAACTAGTTCTTTGATCTTATCCTGTCATCTGGATTTTTAGGTTTACTCTTTAATTTTTGAAGCTTATTTGATGTCTTAAAGTGTCCCTCATCACTGAAAATAAATGAAGAAAACTTAAATTTGTGCATGCTTGGACAACTTGAGTGACTAAAGCCCCAAAACTCTGGTAGATGACCTATGTTTGCATTCCTTTGGCATGTGAGGTTTTTGTAGTATTCCTCATGTTTTACATGAATATGAGCCAATTTTCTGCAGAAAATTGTTCATGAAGACAGAAATAATGCAGCTTCTCATTTGTAGATAGACCTGGCTGTATTTCTGTTTGCATATATATATATAAATTGTTAATTTTAAGCTTGTTAATTTGTAACATTCCTCCTGATTAAAATGTATAGTGTATATCCTTATATGTTTGCAAACCTTTTATTGTAGGACTGAGCTAAGTGTTTTGCTGTGTCATGAAGATATATTTAATTCCGATGGAACAGTGCCAGTATTAGGTGTGGATTATGATCAGGTATATTACAAATTTTGCTATTTTCCCTTTTAATCATTGATATCTCTTTAAAGCATGCACAATATTTATTTTTTACATTAATCATAAATGTGTATTTTGCTTTGGTACTGTGTTTATTCTGAGACTAAGATAATTTTTGAGAATAAGATAATTTTTGGTAGTAAAACAAAATTATTTATGATTAGTTCTATATGTTCCATAGTATGAACTTTCAGGCAACAAAAGTCAAATTACATGATTTTATAAACAATGCCTCATGATTTTTAGTTTGAAAAAGCTTTTTAAAAGTATTTTAAAAGTTGAAAAATTCATGCAGACTACTCATTTAAAAAAAATTGTTTGATTATTCTTTCTTTTATTTTTCATGTGCAAAATCTAGGTGGTTTTGAAGTGGGCTTTTTTGTAATTCGATTGTGCTAGTGTTCATGCAAGGAAACATAAAAAGGTTTTCTTTGTGCATGTAAAGTGTGCTTTTTTCTTTGTAGTTTAATCTACCATGAAAATATTTCAAGTTTAATTTTAAAAAAATAATGTAATAATTCAGTATTCATAAAGAAGTTTGAAGCTAACAATGATCAAACATTAAAATCTCCTACTCATTGATTACCAAAACGTCTAGCACAAACAAAGTGTGTTTAGTGAACAAAGAGTGCTTTATACCCTTGTTAGTGACATAAACTGTGCATATTCCAAAAGTTAACCAAATAAGTAGAAAATGTGTGCAAATAAACAACTGCATAAATTTTTGTGAATGTGATTTGAACGATACATATGTTTGTAGTAAGGGGAAAAATTCTGATGTTCCTTATTTCCTTTGCATTTTAAAAGCATTTAAAAATGGTTGTATACTGAACACTGTGTTTGCCTTTCTTCTGATGAGAAATGGGAGTGAGATAATATTTAGGATATCAAATTAGTTCCTTTTTGTTGCTCTTATAGCTTGTTATTTTGGTATTTTCAATTTAGTTTTATTTTAAGGATGCATTTTTCCTTTATAATTTTTCAGTTTTGTGATGATGATGTTGAAAAACTTGGTAGATCTCCTAGTTTTTTAAACTTGCTTACAAAACTGGCTTCAGAAGAATATTCTCAAAAATACATAAATTTGGTAAGTAAAATCATGTCATTTATCCTCCGAATATTTTACCATTTTAAGTCTTCATAATGCTTTCTTGTGTTGCATAGATAAAAAATGTGTATTGAGTGTAAAGCACATTAGTAGTTTGATGCATTTATATGGCATCTTCTTGGCTGTATACATTTGTGCAGTAATCAGCATACTGATTATGATGTGAAATTTTTATTAATAATATTTATGCATGTGAACTTGATTTCAGTACAATGTATTTGTCCATTGTAAAATGATTTTTGAAATTCTTGGTGTTCTGGCTACATTATTCAAAAGTTAGATTTCTTTCAGTTCAGTTTAGCTTTTTAATATCTAGTATGTATCGGCAGCAAGAGTATATATTTTGATTTTTATATCTTCAAGTATTTTCGTCTGAAAATCAGTCATGTGAGAACTAATGAAGAATGATTTTAATAGTTTGGAAAGTTGCAAAATATCATTATGTAGCCAAAATATACTTATGTATTGCTGCGTTTTTAACTGTCTAGCGCTATACTGGTTTAGGTACATATCTAGATGAACAGAGTTATCTTTGTTTATTTCATAAAATAATCAACATTCTATGATAAAAATATGTTATTCTATAAATAGGTACACTGCACAAAAAGAGGGGGGACAGTTCTATATCTTTTGTTCAATTTCCCGATTAATAAAAATTGAACTTGTGTTTTTTATGTCTCGAAAGCTCGACTTAGGATATGTATTATAATTATATACAGCATTGTTCTAATATAGGTATTTTGACACAAAATCGGACTTTTTCTAAAATGTCATGCCAATTTTTTCCCATATTTCGATTCTACGATTGAAATTATGCCAAATTGCCAAGTTTATTAAAAATCGCACGTGTAGTTTTTAAAAAATTAGCCCTCAAAATTTTAGCTCCTCAGTGTTAATTAAATTTGATATATATTTATTAATATCTCATTTTTTTTATTAAACTTACTTGATTCTTCTTTTCATGTTTCGAAATTTAGGTTTATTCCAAGTAAAATTCGCCCATTTTTATGTGTTATTTTTAAAATTTGTATTTTTAAATAATTTTTATAAATTTTTACCATCGTCTTAAGGTAGATATATTTCTAAGCATACTTGCAAAAAAATTAGTTTTTTATTCAAAATTTCTGAAGGAATTTATATACTGGCACGTTTTGAAATTCGTCATATTTGTTGAGAGCGATAATAACATCAATGAGGTTTAGAGACTTTGTTAAAATTATTTGAAAGTAGGAACGAGGTGAATTTTATCCGCTCGTGCATGGTATAAAAAGGGAAAGGAAAATAGGTTACCTTATGTTAAGAAGTTCGCCAAGTGAATTATTCTTGATGTAATTTCTCCATAAATTTCTCACCAAATTATACAAAATTTAATATTTATGCATGATTTGAGTGGTAAACTTGAAATATGGGAAAAAATTGGCATCTCATTTCAGAAAAAGTGCGATTTTATGTCAAAATATCTATGCGAGAACAATGCTATATACAAATCTTTTATATATCCTAAGTCGCGCTTTCGAGATAAGAAAAACGCAATTTGAATTTTGTTAATAGGGCCAGTAGAACAGGAGATATAGAACTGTCTTTCTCTTTTTATTATTATTATTATTTTATGCAGTGTGCATTTCTAGAAAATATGATTTGTGAATATAGATATTTGCATAATACAATTTTCACATCCAAAAAATTATTAAATAAATATTATGTCTCAGACTCTTAATCTTTTTATAGACTTTATTTATATTGATTTTGTATAAAGTGATTGGTTTCTTATTTTTTATACATATGTAGAAAACAAAATTTCTGTATTTGAGGTTTTTTTGGAACTGGAAGCTATAATAGTTCTGAGCTGGGTTTGGTGCCATTTTGAACTGATTACCTCCATTCCAGTTCTGAGTTAACTATGGCATATATTTCTGACTTATTTACTACTAGTGGGTACTGCCTTCTGTAATTCTGTGCAAAGCTAATAAATTCCATTTCACTGTTTCACAAATCCTAGGCATCAGTGAGAAAAATTAATGTGCTGAAGGATCCAACATCTGTATTAGGTTGGAAGACGAGTAATTACTGTAGTCAATATTTTGGGTCTCAGAGCAAAGGCTGCATTTAAGTTGGTTCTAGAAGAGTATGTTTTTAGGAAATGTTGCCCATGCAGTTTTTAGTGTGACTTGGCTTTAACAGAAAACTTAGTATGTGCTTAAAATAACATTCCAACTATTAATAACGTAGTTACAACAGGAATGTGGTTGGAATAGAGGAAAGTAGTTGATGGTAAGTTATTACCATTTTTGATGCCTATTGTAAATCTTTACTTTGGTTTCCTTTATTTTTCTTTCATGTACTTTGAAAGATAGTTTTGAACTATGCATTTATAAAATGTATGTTTTTTTTTATAAAACTTGTAAATTTTTTGAGAGACTTAAATGTTATGTAAAGCAGGTAGCCATAAAATAACTTTCTGTGTGCTAGCCTCTAGTGTCATTACAATCCAGCAAATGAAAATGAAACTTAAGGCATATGCTTGAGAATGATATGAATAACGAAAGTCAAGTTCTCATGGTTGCGGTTACAACAAACAGATTAACAAAGTATATAGTAATAAGAACGATTTTCTGCTCCATGATACAATCAGCATAGTGAAAAATCAAATGGTATTGGAATATAGCTCATGGCAAAATGAGGAAGCTGTATTGGGGTTGGACAAATATATGGAAACATCTTGTAAAATGCATGTTCAAACTGAAGTGCTTATTCTTGCAAAAGCTGGTGGTGGCGCTGATGTGTTTGCTCACTAGTGCCACCTGTACAACATCCTCAATATGCTGCAAGTGCCATTTGTTACTGAGACGGTATTCTGTGCAGTTGTGAGTTCATCATGGAGCTAAGTGAATTCAAATGTAGGCAAATTCATGGGGCTGGGATGGTGGTTGCTTCCATAACCAATGTAGCTGAAGTGTTTGGTGTTTGAAGACGCACAATATTTAAGATTTTAACCTGATACAGGAAAACTGGAAAAACCATATTCTCTAAATCACAGTGCAGATGAAAATGTGTGTTGAGTGATAATGACAGACTGCTGAACTTTATGTCGCACACGCAAACCCTGGCAGCTCCAAAATAATATAGAGCTGCACAAGCAGGGTTTTTCTGCATGAGCTGCAATTCAAAAGCCACTTATCAGTGATCAAAATGTTTGTAAGAGGAGAAAGTGGTACCAAAGTCATAACATGTGGAGTGTAGAGCAATGGAAGACTGTCATTTTGTCGGTTCAGTCTTGCTTCACACTGGGTCTGACTTCTGAGTAAGTTTACATTTGGCGAATGCCCTTCCAAGCATGTGATGGAGACTGCTGCTGAGAGTGAAACATGGCGAGGATTCAGTTATGGTTTGGGCAGCCATAATGGGGCACTCCATGAGACACATCGTTATTGTGAAAGGTCACATTACTGCCAAGGATTATGTGACCAGTTTGGTTGATCACGTCCATCCTGTGTTAAAATTTGTTCCCAAATAGTGATGCTGTATTCCAAGATGGCAGAGGTCATGTTCACTCAGCTCAAATCATCCAGGACTAGTTTTCTGAGCATGTGAGTCAGCTTTCACATCTACCATGGCCACCACAGCCAAAAGATATCAATATTATTGAACCTTTGTGGGCTGTTTTTGGAGAGAAATCCGCATGAGCACTATCGATCTCCATCTTCATTAACTGAACTTGCTGACATTTTATAGGAAGAATGGGCACAAGATTGCAAGACCTCTCTTTATCCATTCCGAGAAGACTGCAAGCTGTTTTGAATACCAACGGTTTTCCTACACTGCCTTAGTTACAGCGATATGTTTTTATTTCAGTGTTTCCATATTTTTGCCCAACCCCTGTATATTAAAAAATTATATCCGATGTGCAGCCATATGAATGTATGTAGTTTGTATCATGGCCATGAGATGGTGTAGAAAATCGCACACATTAACTGTGCAACCCAAGTAACTTAACTCTTGTGTGATGTATATGATGTCTAAATAGCATCTAAATATCATATCATGATTGTTGCTGCACTTGTATTGTGTAATTGGCACTCTTCTATTCTGTGCATTCATATAACTGAATGTTCTCCTCCCCCACTTGTTGTTCTCATTTCTCTTTGCCTATGATCTTACACCAATTTATTTCAAGCTACAGGTACCATTCTAATGCTGTTTATGGTGTTTGTCTGTGCTGGTCACACTGTAGTGCCCCCCCCCAAAAAAGCAGATACTGGCATTAAAGTTTAAAAATTTTTGTGTTGTTATTACCATGAGAGTTTGAGTGTTGTTATTCTCATCAGTTTGAAGTGCAAATCTTGCAACTCTTTGCATCTTGGGTTTCATTCTGATTTGCTAACTATGCAGATTTTAGAGGCTCATATATAGAGAATGTTATTTTATGGCCTTCCTATATTTTGCTTGAAAACTCATTCAAATATTTTTAAATCATATTTTTTCTGTACAACAGTAGCATTTTCTTCTTTAGGTCCCATATGCAAATAGATCAGCAGTTTGTGTGAATAAGTCATTTTCACTTCATCGTGCCTACATTATATTTCGTTCTTTGGGATTACGACATTTGGTTGTTATTGATGAAAGAAATCAAGTTGTTGGAATTATCACTAGGAAAGATTTAATGGGATACAGTATGGAGGAAAAATTACTTGCACATGTGAATCAAAGTTATGAGCATGAAATTGAAGAAATGCAACCAGTGGCACAATAATGCAAGGATTTGTTACATAATTTAAAAATTAAGATGTTGACAATTTCTGTTCAAGAATGTGAAAATATGTACATATATTTCTTAAAATTTTGACTGTGTATTGATATTTTTCTGTGTTATTAAATTTTTTAAATAATAATTTTCATTTTTCAGCCTTCTGGTAATGTATATAAGAAGATCATGCTCTTTTGCCCACGTTTAAATAATAAAAATTTTACAAAAAGTAAATCTAAAGTAGTAAATTATGACTAACATGTTAGCAATATGTTGGAAAATTTTTTTTTTTTTTTAATTTTATTTTTCCAGATACTTAAAAAATTTACTGGAGCATTTGGTTTGAGTAACAAAGTTTTTCATCTGAGCTTATCCATTATATTTGCCTTAAATTTGTGCTTAATTTTGGAGCCATACTCGAAGTAATTTGAGAGAACCTGAAAAGTTTAATTTCTTCAAGGAGCAATGTTGAAACAAAATATTATGAATCATCTAGTAAGCTTCATGTACACTGCACACACAAGCACAAAAAGGGCAGTTCTATATCTCCCGTTCTACTGGGCCGATTAACGAAATTCAAATCGCGTTTTCCATGTCTCAAAAGCCTGACTTAGAATATATATTAGATTTATACATAGCTTTGTTTTAATATAGGCATTTTGACGCAAAATGGGACTATTTCTGAAATAACATACCATTTTTTTTCATATTTCGATTCTACGACTCAAATTATACCTTAATGTTAAATTTTGTAAAATTTGGTGCGAAATTTACGGAGAAATTCAAAAATGTAACTTGGCGCATTTTTTTCAGTTTGAGCCAAGAATTTAGCGAACTTCTTAATATATGGCAATCTATTTTCCTTTCCCTTCCATTGCGCAGGAGCGGAAGAAACGTGACATCGTTCCTACCTTTTTACACTGAGGATGAGCGGAAAAGAATACATCGTTCCTATTTTCAAGTAATTTTAACAAAGTGTGTAAACCATATTTTCGTTACTATCGCTTTCAACAAATATGCCAAATTTCAGTGTGCGCCAATATACATAAATTCACGTATATCTTCGGAAGTTTTGAACAAACAGCTATAATTTTTTGCAGGTATGCTTAGAATTACATCTACTTTAAGATGATTGTAAAAATTTTATAAGTCATAATTAAAAAAGTTTTTCGAAAAATTATTTAAAAATAAATCATAAAAAATGGGTGAATTTTATTTGGAATAAACCTAAATTTCGAACTGTGTAAGAAGGAATAAAATAAGTTTCATAAAAAAGAGATATTAATAAATACATACCAAATTGAATTAACATTGAAGAGCTAAAAGTTTGAGAGCTAATTTTTTAAAAACTGCTCTTGCGATTTTTACAAAACTTAAGAGTTTGGTGTAATTTGACTCGGAGAATCGAAATATGGGAAAAAAAATTGGCGTTGTATTATCTTGTTATTTAACAAATAACTATATTTATTATTGAAGTGGCAAGGCCATATTTGTATGATGTAACCGTTGCTCAGCATTGTAATAAATTGTTTAAAATTAGAATTTTGAAGTTTTATCAGCTAGGAGAGGCATAAAACATTTGTAACTAAAAGACTATTCAAATTATTTATCTCCACAAACTAAAAATAAAATTTGTTTTACTAAGAAGATTATCTGTTATTTTGCCAGTTACTGCAAAATACATTACAGTCGTATAAAATTGGAGGTTCCACCGAGATACTGTAAATTAGGAGTGCAATTATCAATTTCGATGGTGCTGGTCTTCTAATCCCTAGAAGTTGCTGAAATTTTGATAACAGGTTTGCTAATGCCGATTGCCGAGTTTGTTATTTCAAGGAAAAACGGATGTCAGATGTCTGCCGTTTTAAAGCCAGATTTTGAAGCGGATGATTCAAAGGTTATCTTCTGTATTTCTATAACTTGTGTTCGAGCAAAGAAATCTCAGAACAGGATACTGCTGATGTCCAAAGGAAAGATTAACTTTTGGTTTCATAAAAAAGTGTTTATTGAATTTAAGTATTTCATTTTAGAATTATATTTAAATAGTGTAAGTTTTTGTGTAAAATAACTCATACTAAAAATGTAGGCATAAATTATAATTGGTATTTGTGGTTAAAAAGTATTTTAAAATAATTATTTAGGCTTTACTGTTATTTATATTGAATTTTTATGTTGATAATTGATATGTGTAAGCCATCCCGCATTTATATGTAATAATAATAATAAATAATAAAAAAAAAAAAAAAGAACTGCTAGCTGAGTGTTTGAAATTGTTGCCAAGCAGGTGCGTGAAAATAAGTAGTAACGTCAAACTGACGTAGTATAATTTGATTAGACTGCAAAATTGGCAAAAGTCTTTTTTTAGCTCTCGCCATCCGGGTGTGTGGTAGATAGTAACGTCATCCCGACGTATTACAGATTGTATATTGTAAAAATTGTATTGCCAAACTGGCAAAAATTACTTTTGGCCAACCAGGCGTGGAGATAGTAAAATTGTCAAATTGACGTAGGTAAAATTCCATTGTATTGCCTAACTGGCATAGGTGTTTATATAGTTATTGCCAACGAGGCTTGTGAATAGTGAGTTAAAACGTCAACCCGGCGTAGTATTATTTTATTTTGTGCCAACCTGGCAAAGTTGTTTAAATAATTCTCCCCAATTGGCTAGTGTTAGTTTTGTATTTGACAATTTGTCTTGCCAAAATTTTATATATATATTTAATACAAGTACGATTTATAAGATTCAATTTTAAAAGAAAGCTTATTAAAGGTAACTTATTCAACATGTCATTCTTAATTAGGAGTAAAAAACAGGATTTAAAAGTACTAGCAGAAGAGTTAGGTATAACTGTGAAACCTGAATTTAAGATTGCTTAGTTGCATAAATTGATTACTGAAAGTCCCAGAATGAGGAATTTACTCGAGAACTACTGGCTGCAATTAGAGAAGAAAGAAAAAGAAAGGAAGAATGCAAAAGAGAAGAAAGAGAAAAGGAACGCGAAAGAGCGTTTGAGTTAGAGAAACTTCATTTGGAAGCTATGGCTGCAAGAGCACAGCCGGAAAAACTACGCAGTTACCTGAGCAGCCTTTAAAAATCAGAATTCATGTCATGCCACGCTTCAACCCTAAAGAAGATTAAATAAGTTTGTTTCTGGTGTTATTTGAGCGTCAAGCTAAAATTATGAATATATCTGCTGAAAATCAAGTGACTCAACTTATTTCATTGCTGCCTCCTGGTATTGTTCAGCTTATTGCTAGAGAACCAGAAGAGGACGCGAAAAAGTATGAATATGTAAAAACTTTACTGTTACAAAGATTTAAATTGAGCGTAGAAAAATTTCGACAATTATTTAATAAACACCAAAAATATACTGAAAGTACTTGGTATGATTTTTACTATAAATTAAAGAATTATTTAGAAGGATGGCTTAACGGATTAAACATTAAAACTTTTGAAGAACTAAAAGATCTCATGCTGGTTGATCAAATTAAAAAGTGTACTTCTTCTGATTTCAAAGAACATTTTATGGATGAATGGACTACCATCATTTCACCTACTGAAATGGTTAAAAAAATTGGAGATTTTGAAGATGTGAGAAAAACAATAAAACCGAAATTTTCTGCCAATCAGACTGAGAAAATGAACAAAGGATCATTTAAACCTCGTTATGATAATTTTGTGAAAAAAAAAAAATAGAGCATCCGCCTCATTTTAAGCATTCTGATAGATGGGATGATTTAAAATACCAGAAAGATCATCGACAAAGGAATCAGTTCCAAAACAAAAACCAAGAAAATTTATATGACAAAAGATATCGACCACGTTGTTTCGAGTGTGGGTCATACGAACATTTTAAGCCTCAGTGCCCTCGCTTAAAACCAAATGAAAAGGTAAATTGCGTATCTTCGAATGATGATTTGTTAGAGACATATACAATTAACGGTTTAGTTAATGGGTATGAAATGCCTATTCTTCGAGACACAGGAGCCACTGTTGATGTTATTTCTCGAAAATACATAGATAACGTAAAAATGACTGAAGAACATGTATGGGTACAATATTCTTTTAAATGACCATTTAGTGTGTCTACCGTTAGCGAAAGTTGAAATTAATTGCGAACTTGGTCATATAAAGACAAAGGCAGCTGTTGTTACAAATGATTCCCGGCAGATATGTATTGGGTAACAAAACTGCCCAATTGTTCAAAGATAAATCATGCTTAAATTTAGAAAAAATAAATGCGGTTTTTACACGATCTCAAGTAAAAAAATCTTATGAAGATCGAAGTAGAGAAACCGAAATGAAGAAACTAGAACTGACGTTTATTGAGACTGACGAAGATATTTTACCGCAAGCTGATGAGGAAGACAAGGAAATTAAGAAAGTGATTAATGTTAATTCTAAGGAATTAACTGAATCTCATCAGAGATCTAGCCTCATTGCTTAGCGAAGCTAAAAATGAAAATTTCAGCAAGACAAATGATTTCAAAATAAAGGGGAACGGGTTGTTGGTGAAAAAGAAATTAGATAAACATGGAAATGAAAGGGAATTACTTGTTATTCCTGAAAAATATAGAGATCAAATAAATTCATTATGTCATGATAGCACATCTGGACATTTAGGCGTCGTCAAAAATAAAGATAGATTAACAAGATACTTTTACTGGCCTAATTGCTATAAAGAAATAGAAGAGTATGTTAAAACTTGCGATCCATGTAAAAGAGTGCGAAAATCTAATGATAAAGCCAAAGCACCTTTGACTTTAGTACCAATTATTGCAGAAGTATTTTCAAAAATTAACTTTGAAGCATGCGGTCCTTTACCAATAACACCAAATGGCAATAGATATTTAACTACAGCTATTTGTTTAGCTTCAAAATATCCGGATGCTGTACCTGTTCCTAATATTGGCACAACGTCAGTAATTGAAGCCATTTTACAAATATTTAGTAGAATGGTTTTCCCGAAAGAAATACAAACTGATCAAGGTACCTCCTTTATGAGCAATCTAGCCATTGAATTTGTAGAAAAATTTGAAATAAAAGCAACTAGAAGCTCAGTACACCATCCGCAAAGCAACCCTGTTGAAAGATTTCACCAAACAATCAAACCAATTTTAAAAGTCTTATGTATCGAAGCAGCC